GAATTTCATTTTACACCGTTAAAAACCATAAATTCACCCGGTATAGGTCCTCTATAAAACAATTTCGATAGGAATTTGCGATCACGTAATTACACAAAAAAATGTGAAGTAATATACGTCTAATGTTTTGCACAAAATTTTATAGTAATATTCTTCTTTAAAGTCCTAATTTATATGAAAAGAAAATGAGTATGAATTTAAATAAAGTACTGCTTGCGTAGTACTACTTCCGGTTGACGAATTTAATTCAAATTTTGACACAACATTACCCTTTTGGTCTTATAATCATATGCCAAGTTTCATAAAGCTAGCTAATTGCTAACACCAAAATAATATTTTCGATCGGGTTTTCTTACCGCTCGGACCACTGTGCGACGGTACTTTAAAGTTCCGGTAGCTTTAAACACTCATTTTAAGCTGTAGTAATCTATTCGGCGCTTTTAGAGCTGTCGGTACTTTCCACTATACAAGAAAAAAGCTTCGCGTATTGTTTACGTATTGCAATTATCAAGATATATAATTACAAAACGTATCTATACAGATACGTTTTGGGCTTGAATAAAGCTTTGACTGACGAAAAGCTTGAAAAGTTATTGTTGAATTAGAAAATCTTCAGTTGCATAATTCTGAACAGACAGACATAGAAGATTAAGAATAGAGTAGAGTGAGATACCTATGCTAAAACATAAAGAAATAGAACAACTAACTAATCAAAAGGAGGAAAGTGACACTGAAGTCGTAGAAATACGTGGCAAAGGATCCATGAAGAAGAACAAGGCAGAAATTGATAGAAAATGGAGAAAACGGAAAAACAGACTGAAATTCCAGAGTACGATTATCTAGAAGGAATAATTGGTGATACTTTTGCAACTTGCAATAATCATACAGATTATTTTCTAACACTGATGGGTAACTGTGTGAAAGATATTACCTATCAAACGCTAAGCTTGAAAGAAGAAGAGTTGCTGTGTTTCCTTGACATAAATTTCTTAATGAGTTATCGCAGTTAGCCAAGCTATAAACTCTTCTGGAGTAATGCTGAAGACTTAATAAAAATAAATGATTTATTTCGATAACTTTTTTACAAGTATCTGTCTTTTGGAATAACTGAAACTTGGAAACCCCTTAGTTTGTAGAACAATAAGGTCTCAAAAAGAGTGCATCAAAAAATTTGATGGATGAAAAGAGGAGAGAGAAAAGAGGAGACAGTAAGTGCGTGAAATTTTGCTCTAATTACCGTAAAAAGGAAGCAAGACAATTTCCAAGAAGTGATATATGCTTCGTCAATTCTTAATAAATAAATAAACAAATTTATTGCGTCCACGAAAATGTCGTAGCGCAAATTCACCAGCCTAGTTACCCAAAAGATGAAAGTTTCGCTGTGGATTACTTTTGGAAAAGAAAGAGGAAGGTGTGAAAATTGTTCTGCCAATGCTATTCAGTTCAGACGCTACTCAAAATGTACTGCGTGCAACGTTTATTGATGTTGTAATGAAAAAAGAACTGTTTTTCTGAATATCATAATGTGATTTAGCTAAAACAAGTGTTACTTATATTCTAAATTTTAATGCCTGACAGTACTCTCAAGTAGCATTATCCCCCTGTAATGGGGGGACTGTCATATTTTGCTAAAATTAATCAATGTGAAATGACCCAAAAAACAAGTTAAAAATAAAAAGAAAGTGCGGAAAAGTGGCTAACACTAGATTAACTTCAGTTATAAAACTTCTATTATATGATAACTAACTTCAGGTTTAAAATGTCAACCTCAATTTTGACATATTTGTAATCTTCATTAAAAATCGATTAAAATGAGTACAAACACGGCATATTTATCTTCAATATTAATGACGTTACGGTCAACTTCCGGTTAAAAATGTCAACGTTAATTTTGTCATATTTGTAATCGTCGTGAAAAATCCTTTAAAATGAGTCCAAACATGATACGTTTAATTCCAATATTACTCGAGATATAAGCAAATTCCGGTTGAAAATGTCAATGTCATTTTGACATATTCGTAATATTTATAAAATGTCTTAATATTTGTCATATACATAAAATGTAATAAAAGAAATAAAAAATTAAGGTTGGTATTAATATTTAAGAATTAAATTGCTATCTTCATTGTTGCTAACTTAAGGTTTAATGTTTTTTATTCTAACTTTTTTGTTTTTTGAGAGAAGTGCGTCATCTTTGTACTCATTTTAAAGGTTTTTTAATGAAGATGACAAATATGTCAAAATTGACGTTGACGTTTCAAATCGGCAGTGATTGTATTTTCATTAATATTAAAGTTAAATATGTCGAGTTTGGACTCATTTTAAAGGATTTTTTATGAAGTTGACAAATATGTCAAAATTAAAAGTTCGAACTTTTTGGTTTTTTGAGATAAATGCGTCAAGTTTGGACTCACTTTAAAGGTTATTTTATGAAGATTAAAAATATAATAATAAAATTAAAGTTGACATTGACAACTGAAAGTTTTTTTCACGACTAAACCCGAATGTTTCTAGTTCTAGTTCAATAAAAATATACAACATAGTAATATCTTATGCTAACTAGTGCTACCTACCGCTGTCGTTTGTAAAATAGATAAGATCAGAGATGTTAATTTACTTGTAGAGTCTCTGAAGATGACACAGGGCCAAAACTAATTAGACATAAATTCTATATAAAATAAAAGACATAAACTTTTAATTTCATACTAACATCTAGAAAACGACACTGGCCCGAAATTGTAGGTTCATCTATTTTTTCTATTGTAGAATTTCTTGGTTTGTCTAAATGTCGTATCTAATCGTAAGTCGATTCTTAGACGTATGATGCAAATCGGACATGAAATCGTATAACGTGATTGGCGCTTAGCTTTATCGTTTTAAACAAATACAGTGAAATTCCCCTAACTCGAATCACTAAGGATACGTATATTTAAAACAGAAACCTTAATACTATTGTAAGTAGAAAGTTAATCAAGTTTTTTCAAGTAATCCGTAATTTTCTTTTGGCTTGAAGCGAACAATTTCTTTTTGTCGAAAAAATCTCCTATGAAATGTAAAGAATTATAAATATTATCTGGAACATTTTCTCTTGATAATACAAAGGTTTCAAGCTTTCTAAGAGACGAGTAAGCTTCATCTGATTCTGAAACAATAAGAATATTAGGTTTGTTTTGGTTCAAGAGTCTGTAGTTTCTGAGCTAGAGTCTATGTGGTTTGATTCTGTAGTTAAAATTACTTACAGAGCGCATTCGAATATTTTATTTTTTGTTTAAGGTTTTTTTAATGAAGATGACAAATCTGTCAAAATTGACGTTGACGTTTCAAATCGGAAGTGATTGTATTACCATTAATATTAAAGTTAAATATATCGAGTTTGGACACTTTTACCTACCAGACAACATGAAAATCTTTAAAAACGATAAAATGTCGCTTAGTCAAGTGATGTATAACGCGGTCCAATTGATTTTAACCATATAACTAAAAAATTATAAATATACTTATGGAAAATCTAATGAGATCTAATAAAATAAGTTTAAAAAATATATACCATAGTTGTGTAAGGTGATTAAAAACCACAAAAAATAAGATATCTTTTAAAATTTCTTTTAAATTGTTGTGCACACAGAGCCCCCAACCCAGCGATGGAAACATTATAAAACAGCTCCGAGCTCAAGTTCACGTCATGGAGAGCCGACTTCGCGTTATCGTTCTTCCCCATACACACGTCCGTCAAAATAAAAAACGTCCCGTAACCGCCCCATAATCGATCAAACAAAAAAAAATCGTTGTAATCTCAATTTATAACTAACCACGTAAAAAATTAATTAATGAATTAGTTAACGTGTCGTAGTTTAAACGTTATGATAATAAAAAAAAATTAATAATAACTATTACCTGAGTGTTGAAGAAAATGAAACAAATAATATTTAATTAATAATTAACTTAATAATAATAGATGCAAAATCTTAAAGTTACAAAAAAATCTCATTGTAAGTCTTTTCTTTTTTTTAGATATAAACGTTAATTTGAATTATTAAAATGAAAATCGATTATTAAATAAAATGTACGTATTCGAAGTAGTTGTTGTATTTGATATAAACGTGTGTTAAATGAAGGATTTAATTTATTTTATTTAATACAAAATAAAGCAGCCAAAGTGTTATAATATTTTTTAGACAACTGGACTTCAGGTAAAAACCATTTAATTTAATTTTAAAACTTAAAAAAATTAAAAACAGTAATACATCTTAGAAAGAAAAAACTTTAACAATCTAAATTAAACAAAAGAAACCTGCATGTTAACAAATCCTGTTTTTAATTTAAAATTGTATTCTCTAAATTATTTTCTATGTTACAGGTCTGTAGAGGACAATTCGGGGCATTTTATTCCAATTTATTAATGAATCAGACTGTGATTTTATTTTAAGAGATTTTTATTTATTACATAGTTTTTAACAAAACAAATAATTGATTTTTTTTAACCTATACCTAATTATTAAAAAAAAGAATCTTCAAGATACAGAAAAAGTTTAAGAGAGGCGCAACGCATTAATTATTTATTTACATTTTTTTTTAAGAAAACACAAACAGTAATTGATTGCTACTTTTGTATAAAAATATTAAATTGTATAAATACATGTAAGGCACCAACACAAATGGTGTGGGGGACAATTTTATACTTATTCTTATTAAATCGCTACTGCATCTGGATGTCGTTCCAAAATCATTGCAACACCCTAAAAAAGAATAACAAATTATGATAAAATAAAAGTCATAAAGATAGTTGATATAGTCAAGATTAAAATCAGTTTGTTGTAGTTTTTTGTTATAGCCACAGAATAAAGAATGATACCAGAAAGAAAGGTCAAATATTATTATTAATTGGGATTATAATCGTAATGATATTTATCTTATTGCAAAATAGCTGAAACAAATATTTTTTATCTTATTTACACACCAAGTTAGGCACAGAACAGGACAAACCCACAAAAAACTGCCTTGAAAATTACAACAAAAATAGAACAAAAACATATAAACACCATAAAATATAACGTAACATAACTGTAAAGATAACAATAGACATAACAAATAAAATAAGAACAAAAATAATAAAACAAAACAAGAGTCAACAAATTCAGAATATGCGACCAGAGGAAGTGGAAGCGATAGAAAGTAACCGCTTAAATTCCCTAATAGAGTTGCTGAAAATGTCTATCTCCAAACCAGTGCGCTGAAAACAATCGCATGTTCGAGCCATTGTCAGCATAGGAGAGTTTTGAAAAATGTTTGAACGAATAATAGGAGTATAAAACAAATAATCTAGTCTGAGCAGTCGGGGTGGGACGCGAAAATTAATACTCTCCAGTAGTGGAGGAGAATCAATTACGTTATTAATGATTTTGTATTTGTAGTATGTTAACGCATCACTACATGCAGACTCGTAATCAACATAATCCATGTTAGTCCTGTAGCTGAGGAGCTTCACCATTTTTTTTTGACTTTTTTCTATTGTACTTATATAAAGTTGATATTGAGGATTCCAGACTGAGCTACAAAAATGTAACACGCTGTGAACATATGCAAAATGTAATACATACTTTAATTGCTTTGATGTCTATAAAAATTTTTGTTGTTCTAAGAAACCACCCCGTTTCTCAAAAGTAAGTTTTTGGTCAAATATCACACCAAGATCTTTAATATGAGATAATCTCGACATGGCTGCGCCCCCAAGACCATAGTCGTATTTAATTAAGTTCAATTTTCTTGTGAAAGAAATTATATAACCCTGAGAGGCCGATACATTCAATGTTGTGGTGTCATCCGCGAAAAGGATATTTCTTGTATGAGCAGGCAAATGTGATGGGAGGTCATTGATGAATATTAAGAAGAGAATAGGACCCAACACAGAACCCTGAGGTACGCCGTTGAATGTGACACACTATTGTCTCTCGAATAAGTGGGAAAATAAACTAACAGTTGTAAGAATATGTATTCACAGTATGTTAATATTTTTGATCTATTAAATTTCTTAAAACTAAATTAATTGACGAAGAACGAAATTAAGACTATGCACATTCAAGCAAGCAATGGAAGCAACAAAAGATTTTAGTTTATTCTGATTTTGGAGCGCCACATACAGGTGTCTCAGCGAGACCGGTCATTAGACGTTTCTGAGATTATCAATTGCAGATTTATTCAGCCGAAAAATATTTCGGTCAAAAACAACGCAATTGATAATACTTAAGTCTGAATTCTCAAATTTTTATTATTCTGTATTGTGCAGAACCCCAGAAACATCTAATGACCGGTCTCGCTAAGACACCTGTATATATAAGTATTTTGATATTAGTTAGACATTTAGTTTGCTTTTCGCACATTTCAACGGCGAAAGTTAAAAACGAGTAGTCTTTACGAAGTGCAATATGAAATATATTTGCAAGTATGGGTGGTAAAAAAGGAATGCGAGGTTGATGCAGCATTTGGATACCGTTTCATTGATTTTGTTTCTATTTTTACTGCCCTTTCTAACATTGTTGTTTGCAAATAATGTGGATCCAAAATTGCACTTGCAACAAGAGCCATGCGCGAGCGACAAGTGTTTTTCGAAGAAACAGAATTATTCATTCAGAACAACCAAGTTGGAGGAATAACAGTTTCTGGTGATGGAACATGGAAGAAGAGGGGATTTTCATCGGGTAAAATAGTTGATCTGGAAATAAAGTCAAAAATTTGCAAAAAGTGCAGTTACTAGAATGGTAAAAAAGACACAGAATACCAAGATTGGGTCGAAGATCAAAAAAGATATAAACCAAACCGGATCTTCAGGAAAAATGGAAGTGGATTTCGTCGTAGAGATGTTTCAATGATCCGAAAAAAAAAGCATAATTTGAAGTACTGTTTTTACAAAGGAGATGGAGACGGCAAAACTTTCAAAGGTAAGTATTATGGACCCTTAACCTTACGAAAATATTAAAGTGACAAAAAAGAATGCATCGATCATGTGCAAAAGCGAATGGGTTAGGTTGGGTTTAAAAGGAACAGAAGTCTAGGAGGCAAAGGAAAATTAACGGGGAAATTAATTGATCAACTTTCCATATACAGGGTGTCTCAGCGAGACCGGTCATTAGACGTTTCTGGGGTTCTGGCGAAAATAAAAATTTGAGAATTCAGACTTAAGTATTATCAATTACGTTCTCTTCGTCTAAAATATTTTCAGATTTCTAGCACTTCCGGTTATACCGGAAGTCACCACCTACTTTTTTTTTTAAATGGAACACCCTGTATATTTTTACATATTTGGATTTGTCTGTTTTCAAGGTTTATAAATAACTTTATTTTTTGCAATTTGAATCGGCCGTTCTCGAGTTATTCGAATTTTTCTAGAAAAATCTGCTCCAGCGGACATTTGTTCAAAAAATCATTGAACACTCGATTTTTGAGATATCAATTTAGGATTCAGAACATGCTTAAACAACATGATGGAGTATGTTTTGGTGCCAAGAACGGCTGTCTAGATCGTTTGGTCACTTTACTATGACACGTTAACTTTTCGAAATTTGGAAGCACCATAACTTCATTTTTTTAAATGGCACCCCCCATATTTTATTACTTAGTCGTCTTCGGCGTCTCATTTTACATCTTTTATATTCCATATGTCCTATGCCTAACATTAATAGTTTGAGAAATAATTAGGGTTTTTTGAAAAATGCTCACATATCATATGGATATTAACCTAGTGTGCCATGGAAAACAAATGTTTAATGACTTATTGATAAACGTCAAAGTCTAATTTAGGTTGTTTGATGCTTGTGAGTCTAAAACCAGTTAAAATGGATATTAATAACGTAAATAATGTTTATACAAATGAAGAAATCCATAATTTATTTTTTGTGCACGAAAAGTGCGACAAAGTTCTTAGTAGAACTTGCAGAATGTTTAATGAAAATTATCCACATTTATCTCCGATGACAAAAGGTAAATTTAGAGGAATAGAAGCAAATTTTTTGCATTTTGGACGAATTAATCACGTGTTAAACTGACCAAAAAATGTAGTAGATAATGCAACGGAAGAGGTGAATACCTTGGCTTATTTCGAGCCCAGTCCCAACACCTCAATTCGAGCTGCCAAAGAAGATCTGGGAATCATACTACGAACTTTGTCGCGCTTTTCATGCAAAAAAAATAAATTAAGAATTTCTTGATTTGTGTAAATATTACTTTCGTTATTGTTATCGATTTTAACTCGTTTCAGTACTAATATTAAGGGACATAACAGATAATTATTAGCTCACATGCATCAAGTGACGTAAACAAGTGAGTCTTTGACAAGAACTCATTGAGAAGGCTTGTTTTTCATGGCACACTAGGCTAAATATCCATATGATATGTGTGCATTTTTCAAAAAACCCTAATTATCTCCCAAACTATTAATGTTAGGTATGGGACATATGGGATATAAAAGATGTAGAATGAGACGCCGAAGACGACTAAGTAATAAAATATGGGGGGTGCCATTTAAAAAAATGAAGTTATGGTACTTCCAAATTTTGAAAAGTTAACGTGCCATAGTAAAGTGACCAAACGTTCTAGACAGCCGTTCTCGGCACCAAAACATACTCCATCATGTTGCTTAAGCATGTTCTGAATCCTAAATTGATATCCCAAAAATCGAGTGTTCTCTGATTTTTTGAACAAATGTCTGCTGGAGCAGATTTTTCTAGAAAAATTCGAATAACTCGAGAACGGCCGAATCAAATTGCAAAAAGTAAAGTTATTTATAAACCCTGAAAACAAACAAATCCAAATATGTAAAAATATACAGGGTGTTCCATTTAAAAAAATAAAGTAGGTGGCGACTTCCGGTATAACCGGAAGTGCAAGAAATCTGAAAATATTTTAGTCGAAGAGATCGTAATTGATAATACTTAAGTCTGAATTCTCAAATTTTTATTTTCGCCAGAACCTCAGAAACGTCTAATGACCGGTCTCGCTGAGACACCCTGTATTATGGATTGGTTATTCGTAGAAGTCACAATTCCCTAAAGAATATGAAAAAAGAGATCTGACGAGAACACCCACAAGCCAGCAATGGACAATGATGGTTTCACCGCTGTGAAACTTGTATATGAAGAACTTTCCAGAGAACATCTTTTGACAAGATGTTTAGGGGGATACACACAAAACAATAATGAAGGTTACAAAGCTTCATGATGTGGCAAGAAAGTGGTTGGCATTGCGTCTGATATTGCCGCTTGTAATTTTAATAATACAAGCATTAAAGTTAACAATTGGAAGATCGTGCTTTGAGTTTTGCCACGAAACGGACTCACGTCGCATGACCAATGAGGCTAAAGAAGCTCGTAGAAGCTTATTGTCAGACAGATTAGCTGCAGAAGAAGAGAATGACCATCAGGAAGGACAAATGTACGGTGCAGGAATCGCTGATTAGAAATATTTAATTTTTCCCCTTTGATCAACTTTAACGTCTTTTTTAAAAATTAAATCTTTTCAATTTATGCGGATGATAACTCCCTCATTTCTAAACGGATTTTCAAAAAATGTTATTTTATGAGTTTGTATCATCTTACTCTAGGGAAGTACATAGCCGTTTTTCGATGTATCTCAAGTTGTCTCTTTTACAAACATTTTTACGTATGTTTTTTATCAATAAATATGACAATCCTGGTAAAATCGGCACCATTTTGTCATAAAGGAACATTTTTTAAAATCCTACGTAGTTCCCTAGTTTTTGAGTTTAAAAAAGTAATCGTTCTCGAAATTTGATTATTCAACTTCCGGTGTAGGAGAAATCCTACACACCAATTGACACTGCACGACTTGCAAGCCTAACATTGCAGACATCAAGCGGGCGTAATTTTATTTACTGTTAATAAATAAAATACGTTTTTAAAACTAGAAAAGCTGCTTATAAAAACCCGTTTTTTCCTACGCAGCAAAAAATCTTAAAGTTATCTTTATTTTCGTCTCTCCAAGGTGGCTAACCCCCTTAATTATTCAAAAGAGCTATAACTCCACTTGATAAAGAGGCGCCCTAATATTGTGACAAGTTTTGGGTTAATATAATCTTAATAACTGAGCCTATACTAAAACATAGGCACCACCTTCAAGTTTTTTTTTGTATCATTATGATGGAAGAAACGTTAAAGGTAAAAACATAAAATTTCGGAATGAATTAAATATCAATTTTTCAAATTTTAGTATTTTGCCATATATTATCTTTGTTCCAGTGACATATTTTTCATTTTTACCTGACCACCAGCTGCACAAGCTGCAACTAAACCAAATTGTCCATCTTCACGAACAAGCCTATGAGCGGTATGCATAGCCAATCGAACACCAGTTGCTGCAAAAGGATGACCAATAGACAAAGAACCACCCCATGAATTAAATTTATCCATATCGGGAGAACCGACTTTTTTAGGACGATTCATATATTTTTGAGCGAACCAATCACTATCCATGGCTTTTATATTTGCAATAATTTGACCCTACAAATCAAATCAATATCAAATCAAATCTTAATTTAAATAATAACAAAAATTTACCGCAAAAGCTTCATGTAATTCCCAAACATCAATATCCTTCAAAGTTAATCCAGCTTTCTCAAGTACTTTAGGTGTGGCATAAGCCGGCCCCAAAAGTAATTGATCAACGGGATCTTGGGAAACATAAATAAAATCGCGTAAATACGCCTTTGGTTTTAATCCCAAAGCTTTAGCTTTCGCTTCGGGCATGATTAAACAAGCGGACGCGCCGTCCGTTAAAAAGGAAGCATTAGCTGCCGTCACGGTTCCGTGTGGTTTAATGAAGGCCGGTTTCAACTTGGCTAATTGATCGGGGGTTGAAACTCTAATTCCGTTATCGCGATCGATCGTTTTTGAAACTCCCGTTATAGTCACAGGGAGCATATCGGTGAAATAGCCTTTTTGGTGAGCTTGATGTGCAAATGAATGGGATCTTAAGGCGAAATCGTCTTGTTCTTTTCTTGTAGCGCCGAATGCCGCTGCTAAACGATCTGCTGAATGACCCATGGTTTCTCCTGATGAAAATTCGGCAACAGCTGGAAGCTACAGGGAGGAGATTAAATATTTAAATTGTAAAGGCCACTTTACAGTAAGCAATTTTTCTTGCATGCAAGGTATCTCGCACGAAGTTATTGCGACAATATCTAGCGCAATTGACTTTACATTTGACAACTTTTAACTGCAAGATTTGAATTGCAATCAATGCTGCCAACATATATTTTTTGAAAGAATGAGGCACATGTACATACACAAACCAACAAAACAGAGTTGAGCTACTTGCAGTAAAAATGTACTACTTGCAGTACTTTTTTACTTTAAGTAGTTTACTGCCAGTACTTTCAAATTGTAGGTACTTAATACTTGTACTTTCAGTATTTAGCTTAAAATGTACTGGATACTTGTTACTTGTTTGACATAAGAAGTACTTGAAAAACTATTTGTTTACTCCAAGTAGTTTATCTACTTCCAGTACTTTCAATAGTAAGTAAAATAACAATTTTTTAAAGTTTTCTTCAAAATCCTAGATAGTCTTAAGAATACTATGAAATCTTCATGGTATGCTTGAAAAATCAGTTGCAATCTTCTGGAAATACTAAAAAATGCATAATCTTTGGATACACTCAAAAATCTTTAGATATCCATAAAAATTGATGAATATCTTTGAAAATGTGTCTAAATTCCTTCAAATTTTTAGAAATACCTAGTTGTACATAGAAATTTTTGGAAATCGTTTCAAACTCCCTAGACATGTTCGAAAATTCCTAAAAAATCTTCTAAAAACTTGAAATTCTGTAGAAATTTTTTCAAACTCCTAGATAACCTTAGGTATTCCCAGAAATTTTTATGGTATACTTGAAAATTCGTTGAAATCTTTTGGAAATTTCTTAGAAATACTAAGAAATGCCTACATAAGTGTCTGGGATTCATTCGTAATAATCCCTGGATATCCTTGGAATTTCTTCTAATTTTTCTAAAAATCAATCAAAAACCTTGTATACACTCAAAAATCTTCAAAAATCTTGAAAATGAGCCTAAATTCCTTAAAATTGTTAGAAATACCTAGTTGTATATAGAAATTTCTCGAAATCGTTTCAAACTCCCTAGATATGTTTGGAAATTCCTATAAAGTTCTCTAAAAACTTGAAATTCTGTAGAAATCTCTGCAAAATCCTAGATAACCTTAGGTATTTTGAGAAATATTTATGGTATACTTGAAAATTCATTGAAATCTTTTGGAAATCTCCTGGAAATACTAAGAAATGCCTACATAAGTGTCTGGGAAGAATTAAAAATCCTCAGCATTCGTAATAATCCCTGGATATCCTTGGAAATCCTTCCAATTTTTCTAAAAATCAATCAAAAACCTTGGATACACTCAAAAATCTCTAGATATCCATAAAAATCGATGAATATCTTTGAAAATGTGTCTAAATTCCTTAAAATTTTTAGAAATACCTAGTTGTATATATAAATTTTTGGAAATCGTTTAAAACTCCCTAGATATGTTTGGAAATTCCTAAACATCTTCTAAAAACTTGAAATTCTGTAGACATTTTTGCAAAATCCTAGATAACCTTAGATATTCTGAGAAATTTTTATAGTATACTTGAAAATCCGTTGAAATCTCTTAGAAATACTAAGAAATGCTTACATAAGTGTCTGGGAAGAATTAAAAATCCTCAGCATTCGTAATAATCCCTGGATATCCTTGGAAATCCTTCTAATTTTTCTAAAAATCAATCAAAAACCTTAGATACATTCAAAAATCTTTAGATATCCATAAAAATCGATGGATATCTTTGAAAATGTGTCTAAATTCCTTAAAATTTTTAGAAATACCTAGTTGTATAGACAAATTTTTGGAAATCGTTTCAAACTCCCTAGACATGTTTGGAAATTCCTAAAAAATCTTCTAAAAACTTGAAATTCTGTAGAAATCTCTGCAAAATCCTAGATAACCTTAGGTATTCTGAGAAATTTTTATGGTATACTTGAAAATCCGTTGAAATCTTTCGGAAATCTCCTAGAAATACTAAGAAATGCCTACATAAGTGTCTGGGAAGAATTAAAAATCTTCGGCATTCGTAATAATCCCTGGATATCCTTGGAAATCCTTCTAATTTTTCTAAAAATTAATCAAAAACCTTGGATACACTCAAAAATCTTAAGATATTCATAAAAATCGATGGATATCTTTGAAAATGTGTTTAAATTCCTTAAAATTTTTAGAAATACCTAGTTGTATATAGAATTTTTGGAAATCGTTTCAAACTTCCTAGATATGTTTGGAAATTCCTAAAAAATCTTCTAAAAACTTGAAATTCTGTAGAAATTTTTGCAAAATCCTAGATAACCTTAGGTATTTTGAGAAATTTTTATGGTATACTTGAAAGTTCGTTGAAATCTTTTGGAAATTTCCTAGAAATATTAAGAAATGTCTACATAAGTATCTAGGAAGAATTAAAAATCCTCGGCATTCGTAATAATCTCTGGATATCCTTGGAAATCCTTCTAATTTTTCTAAAAATCAATCAAAAACCTTGGATACACTCAAAAATCTTAAGATATCCGTAAAAATCGATGAATATCTTTGAAAATGTGTCTAAATTCCTTAAAATTTTTAGAAATACCTAGTTCTATATAGAAATTTTTGGAAATCGTTTCAAACTCACTAGATGTGTGGAAATTCCTAAAAAATCTTCTAAAGACTTGAAATTCTGTAGAAATTTTTGCAAAATCCTAGATAACCTTAGATATTCTGAGAAATTTTTATAGTATACTTGAAAATCCGTTGAAATCTTTTGGAAATACTAAGAAATGCCTACATAAGTGTCTGGGAAGAATTAAAAATCTTCAGCATTTGTAATAATCCGTGGATATCCTTGGAAATCCTTTTAATTTTTCAAAAATCAATCAAAATCCTTGGTTACACTCAAAAATCCTAAGATATCCGGAAAAATCGATGGATAGCTTTGAAAATGTGTCTAAATTCCTTAAAATTTTTATAAATACCTAGTAGTATATAAAAATTTTTGGAAATCTTTTCAAAATACCTGGATATGTTTGGACATTCCTATAAAATTTTCTAAAAACTTGAAATTCTGTAGAAATCTCTGTAAAATCCTAGATAACCTTAGGGTATTCTGTGAAATTTTTATGGTATACTTGAAAATCCATTGAAATCTCCTGGAAATACTAAGAAATGCTTACATAAGTGTCTGGGAAGAATTAAAAATCCTTGATATTCGTAATAATCCATAGATATCCATGGAAATCCTTCCAATTTTTCTAAAAATCATTCAAAAACCTTGGATACATTCAATAATCCTAAGAAATTCATAAAAATCTGTGGATATTCCTTGAAATCTCTAGAAATATTTGGTTATCTTTGAAAATTTTAGGAAATTGCTACTTGGATGTATTTGGAAATTTTCATAAATTCTTTTAGAAAACCTGAATATCTATAGAAATCTCTGGAAACTCAGTGGATTCCTCAAAAATCCTGAGAAATTCGGATAGTATCTTCGAAAATCTTTTGATATCCTTTTTTCTTGGATATTCTTGGAAATTCATACAACTTCTGTAAAAATCCTTAATTCACTCAGAAATAACAGGATGTCTTTGAACATTTTAGGAAATTGTTGCAAAATCTTTAGATATATTTGGAAAATTTTGCAAAATCTTATAAAAATCGAAATATGTGTAGAAATTTCTGGAAAATGATAAGTTGGTAGGTGTGATTACTCAGTACAGGAGAATTATTTAAAAATACAAAATATATGTTCATTCAAGGGTTATAATTACTTTGTACTGAGTACTTGAAATTTTAGTTTCAAGTAAAATGACTTATTACTCCAAGTACATTTTAAAAATACTTGTTACTTATTACTTGGAGTAAAAATAATTTATAGCGCTACTTGTACTGGTTACTGGGAGTACTTTTCTTTTGTACTTGTAACAGCTCTGCAACAAAATACATTATGTCCTTATATTTTACAGTTGACAACACAAAAAGTAACTAGTAACCATACTTTCAGCACAAGTGCAAGAATACCAAAAAGAAAGCGTCAATTGCGCATGCATGCAAGATAAATTAAATAAATAATAATATAAATTGCGAACTGTAATGTGGCCTTAAGGTTTGATATAGACTTACCTCAGGAACAAAATAATCAGGTCTTATACTAGAAAATAATTGTAATTTTTGTTGTAATGTTTTTGCTTTATTTGCTTTCAACATGAAGTTACGCATTTTTCTGTTATGTCTAATTGGAACATCAGACATAAATTCAACCCCACCAGCTACAATAGTTTCATAAGCTCCAGAGGCTATTAATCCAATTCCGGTGGTCATTGCAACATTGGAAGAGATACAAGCCATTGTGACTGTATGAGCTGGAGTTTTATCACTATATCCGGCTGCTAAAGCAGCTTCTCTAGCAATGTTGGATGTTTTTACTTCTTGAATAACAGTTCCATAAATGATGTAATCAACAATATCTTTATCAATTCCAGTTTTCTTTGCAATACCACTATAATTAATTAAATATATTAACTTTTTAAAGTAAAATTGTTATTTTATTACATACAGTAAAGCTTGTCTGGCTAAATCATGTGGCATAAGCTGCGAATAATCAGTTCCAGATAATAAAAACGGTGTTCTTATTCCATCGACAAGAACAATATTCTTCCCCGTTCTATCTGGAGCGCTTTTCCTAGGTATATATAATTGAGCCCCAACTGAAAAAGCTCTTACGCCTAGAAAAACACACGCAATAATAGTCATTAAGATTGGACTTTGATTAAAATTTTTTTGATATTTCTTCAACTTACCCGTTTGTTGTGTTAAAGCTAACGCGGTGGGGCTTCTTAATATATTTTTTGCTAAATACGTTGCCATTTCGAGGGTGATACTTGTTTTAGAACAGTTTTTATAAAAAGTAAAAAAACACGAACCGGGGAAGAGTGAAATACACCGCACCAGAAACGTCGAGTTCCTCTCGACTTTGACCCGCACTGATGCCAACACAAAATCACCTGTTGCAATGAGCGATGATATCGTTTACTATTCGAAATTTAACCCGAATCGACTTCCATCGGAACGGACAAGGTCCAAAGATTAAAGGTAAACACATGTAGATTATCAATGTTTAAAAATGTTGTTGTTTACATAAGACGATATTCAAATTCGAACATCAAAATGAAGTTTGTTTTTTTTTGACAAGTTAAAAAAAATGTCAAATTTGTAACCCTATTTTTTATTAATACCAACTTAATGTTATTATTTATTATAAAAAAATTTAATTTAAATAAAATATTTTTTATTCGTATTTTTATTTTAATCAAAAATGTTACTTCTATTTTACAAATACAATTATCTTTTAACTTTCTCAGTAGTATTAGCCCACCCAGTAGAAGCACCAACATCAACAACATGATTTCTAACAGCTTCATCCAAAATATTCTGAATATCTTTACATCCCTGTAAAGCTTTCTCAAGAACTTTCTTTAAATGATCCAAATGAAACCGCTGAGACATTTCCATAAGAACAATACTTTCAGAATGTGGTAAAGCAGCAATTGTTAAAGTAGGCCCCCCAATAATTTCTTCTTGATGTGAAATATCAACCATGGGGGTGTCATTATTAGCTATGCTGGCTGTACAAGCGCAAACATATTCTTTTAAGGGAATTCCAGCATCGATTAAACCTAAAGTGGCTGCATTTACACAAGCAGAAAAAACACCTCCATCTGCGTGTAAAACTTCAACATATACATCAATTTGTGACCAAGGGTATAATTCAATTTTTATTGCAGCTAGTAAAGCTTGTCGTAAATGAATAGACATTTCAGTGGATTTTCGATCCCCTCGAGGTCGTTTTTTTCGATCTGAAGTCGAAAACACAGCCATACTAAATTGACAATTAACAATTGCGGCATCGTGTTGAGCTTTTGAGCGGGTCCGAACTTGGTGGGGGCCGTACACTGCCGCTAATACCTTCGTTAGGCCTTGTTCTAAGTAAGCACTTCCGTCAGGTTCAGCAAAAACACCCAATTTACAACGGATTCTTCTTAATTCATTTGCACGGCGACCATCCAAACGAAGACCTACTTTTGAGATCAATTCCTTTTTACTCATATTTAATAAATTAAATTTTATAGTTGATTTAAAGCTTTTAAAAGTAAGGTTATGTTGTTAATTACTAAAAAAGCTAACTTCTCGATAGTGTTAAATAATAATTTTAAGAATTAAGTTTTAATTATTTCGGCTTTAATTTATTCAAGTTGTATTAATATAAATACATAATAAATTAATTATTACATAATTAGTAATGAAAGAAATTGATTTTAAGTTGGTGAATTATAAATATTTTTGTAACCAGATCTAACTTCTCTCATAACTTGACAGTAAGTTCTTAAAGCTGTGTAGAGTTGAGTCATAAAACTTAATTAAATCAAAAAAACATGGTAAGTTCTTTACGAAATATTAAATATTATTTAAGGAAATCTTAATTTTAACCGTTTTTATCATTTTCCGTAGTCGAACGAGGTTGAGGAAACGATGAAAAGGATACAATCGCATAAAGGTGTTATTGGGACTGTAGTTGTCAATTCAGAAGGTAAATATTTGTAAAATATTGATCAAACTTAATTCAAGTTATTTAAAGGTATACCAATAAAGTCAACGTTGGATAACACAATGACTGTGCAGTACGCTGGTTTATTGAGTTCTTTAGTAGATAAAGCTAGAAGTGTGGTTAGGGATTTAGATGCAGCCAATGATTTAACATTTTTGAGAATTAGGTCCAAGAAACACGAGATTATGGTTGCCCCTGATAAGGAATTTATTTTGATTGTTATACAGAACCCTTCGGAGTAAAATAATTGGCATAGTTATTAAGAAATATTATTGTTAATTTATTTTTATATTTACTAAAAAAAGATAATTTGGTTTTATGCACACTTTTTCCTTATGTTATTGAAATAAAACTGCTTATTTGTATTTAATATCGATAATTAATTTCTTTTATTTATAATATATAGTATACAAAACTGTTTATAAGAATACATTAATACAAAATTTAAATATATAATTGAGTAAATTACATTTGATTATGTACACACAGCCGGATTATTTCAAAAGTTTTGTTAGAAAGTAGATTCATAGTCTTTGTTCGATATATTGGAGAATTAAATATTTATATATTATAGAAATAAATAATTTTTTAGTCTTTCTTTTTTTGTAGAAAGACTTGATTTGTATAAAAATTGCACTAAATCATAAAATGAGAAGCTTGATAAAATTAACTAAAATGATTTGTACTTATCTAAATAATTAACTAAGCAAAAATCGCAACAACACAAAACACTTTATATTAATAGAGAAAAAAAATTCGATATCATTAAAAATCATCTTTTAACTAAATGTCTTTGAATATAACCAGTACTGGGATGACATATTTTATAATAAACAATCATAAATACGATGCCCACAAAAAAAGTAATAAAATTAAGACAAATTATAGGTAAATAATAGGGTGAGCTCCGTATCACTTCATCAGAGTACAACATCCAAATTATCATAGCTATGATATTTTCCACACACAAAATGGTATAAAAAAATACATACCTTACCAAGGTCCTGCCTTGACTTAATGAAATATGAGTAAAAATATACACCGTTCCAAAAACGGCAAAGAAAAAATATTCGAAGACTTTATTGTTGCCACAAATTGCAGGTTGATCTGAGGTGATTTTTAACCAAATTACCATGACAAACCAATGAACTGATAAAACCAAAACGGTGTAATAAGGAAAAATTGATGCTATTACACTTATACACATTATTCTTGAAACTATAAAAAAAAATCAATGTAAATAATAATGTTAAAAAAAAGCCTATTATCCCTGCAAAAAGTCCCCTCACTTTAACGATCGATATCTTCGCAACCGCTCGATAAAAAAAATTGCGACAAAGTTTGTTGTAATCAGTGAACATTTCTACGTAACATATGTTAATTTTAAAAATTTCGGATCCACCGTTTTCTTTTTATCACGAGTTAAATGAAAAAAGTACCCGATATTTTACGCTACCGTCAATTTTGCGATTTTTTTCCTCGAAAATTATCGTACGAAAAAATTTTAATTTTGAACAGGTGGTAGCCTGATGTGTTCTTAATGAGTGGCATATTTTATTTTTTCGATATTCCATACCGTTTCGCGGAAAATCGCGGTTTAATACGACGCCGGTATGTCGAAAACCGCGGATTTGACCAAAATACGTAAAATAATGTCGAATTCCGTTATCAGTTTTTCAAAATTAGAATTCCCTAATTTTTTAAAAACGGTTAATGGAATTACAAATTAAAGAGAAGCAGAAATAAGCTCTGCGGGACAGATGAGACAGATCAATCGGAACAGATGGTGCATCCCAGACAGGACGTCGCGCCTTATTTCTTTATGTAGGTAAAATAAAGGCGCGACGTACTGTCTGGGACGCACCATCTGTTCCGATTGGACGGAACCCTTCCCTCCCCGCATAGCTTATTTCTGTTTCTCTTTAATTTGTAATACTACTTGTAATCGTATACAGTGGTTACGAAGATATCGATCTATAAATCCCTTGACTTTTTGCACGGATAGTAGTGAAACAATTTTTTGTGTTACCTGTAACAAGAAAGTGCCACATAAACTGCATTATTGTTCCTCCCCAACTTATATTATTCTTATTTATTAAAGCAACTCTTAATAATCTATGATACGAAGCCATGGACCAAGCCATACTTACAAAAGAACTTCCAATCGATAATAATTGATGGACAACTAAAACAATATTCAATGATATTTATCGCTAAAATACAGTGTCCACCAAAAAGTCAGGGAAAAATTCAGAAATCATCATTTGGTTTAAAACTCGACGATTTTTTTTTTAATCAATGTGAAGAAAGTGCGGAAAAGTGCAGAACATACGGAAAAATCACCCTTGCTTTTCTTAGGCTTTCGATGCATAACGACTGTGTGGCGAACATCTGGACGCCAGGGAACTTTGTAAACCGTTCAAAAAATCTCTCTCCGGTCATCTGGGCAGGACACCCTTTTGGTCCAGGCAAAGGGTTCCCGGGAAACTTTCACCGGAGATATTACTGGACGCTCTCCGTGGCAAACATCTGATCGCCAGAAAGCGTTCGAAACTATTCAGAAGAACTCTCTCCGTACATCTGGACAGCAGATCCTTTTGGTCCAGACAAGGACTCGAAGAGAGCTTTCACCGGGGATGTTACTGGACTCGGGGATAAAAGGAACCAGGATCGGCCCAGAGAGTTCAGTTCAGTTACCATCAGTTATTAGTTGTCAGTTACCATCAGTTATCAGTTAGCAGTTGCCATCGGCAGATCAGTCAGCAGTTACCCTTTTCGCGTCCGCACTTACATTATTGTTATTATTGATGTAAATAAAATTTTGTTGTTGAAGACATTGGTTTTCCTAAAACTTCCTCTCGCTACTATCACAGCATTAGCCCCGCAGACTGACTACCTGTCGTTAGACAGACTGTCTGTCAATAGATTCTGTTTTAATACTAAAACTAACACTAGAACTAGAAACATTCAAGATTAGCCGTCTTAAGAGACGCAAGGCTAAACCCGAATGTTTCTAGGTCTAGTGTTAGTTCTAGTTTTACACTATCACTAGAACTAACACAAGACCTAGAACTAGAATCGTTCTAGTGTTAGTTCTAGTTTTAAATGTATTTAGCGTTAGACTGTGATATATGTTAATTGAATTGATTCTAAAAGACGGCTAAACCCGAATGATTCTAGTTCTAGGTCCTGTGTTAGTTCTAGTGATAGTGCTAGTGTAAAACTAGAACTAACCCAAGAACAAGCAAGTATCGGGTTTAATCGTGCGTGTTCAGACACCTTCTGCTCCATGCCTAACCCGATATTTGAGAAATTCGCACTGGTTCAAACGACGTTAATTAACCTAACTCAAAGTGGTATTACTACACCAAATTCTGAAATAAATCAGTAAATTAGGTGGATTCGAATGTAACGTATAAAGAGGGGTAGGGCAACAGGTATAGATTTTAAGTTAATTTTAGTTTGTAGATGGTAAACGACATTTTAGTAGTTGTGCGTCGAAAACCTAAGAAACAACCGTATTTCATACGAACATATGCGTTTTAATCAAATGTGCTGCGAAAATATATACTCGGTGTCCAAATTTCGATGGGTTTGCAGGGTATCTCAATTATTATGAAAGATGTGAAACTTACAATGGCGCAAACCAAATCTTCATAGCCCTCTTCGTTTTTGATATACAGGGAGTGTTTAAAAATTTGCGATTTTCAGGCACCCCGTGTATCTCGGCTATCCGGAAACTTAGTAAAAACAGGTTCTAATAGATTTTTTTCACGTAGAATCCAATGGTGCACGTAGAATTTTTTTAGTCATCACAGTTTTTGAGTTATACATACAATTTAGTTCTTTTTAAATAGAACCATCTATATTTTATTATTTTATTGAACTAGAATTTTTTCAAGCTTTTCAATGATATATCTGAATGACTGCAACAAACTTCAAGGGGTGATTCTTTAGTGAATTTTAAGGGTACTTTGATATATGAACTATGGACGACTTTGGCTCCCCTAAGGAGCTACACCCCTCCAAAAATGGCGGAAAATTTTGGTTTAATTTTTTTTTCTCAAATACCATAAACGCTAGGAAAATGAAATTTGGGGAATATGTTTAACTCATAATAGGGCACGTTTTGACCCTATTTGTACTTTCAACCTACCCTTCTAAACTACTAAACGTAACCACCCCCGTTCAATTTATGCCTAGATTTTTTTTATGAAGATGATAAATACATTGGAAAAATTTCAGTTAGATAGATAAAACTATTCTAAAACTTTTTTGTCTCTCTGATGTTCTTCTAAAAATTAATAATTTCTGAGAAAAAAAATAATTAAGCAAACACTAACTGTTAAGCTGTAGGGTTGTTAATCGAAAGTTGGAATGAATTTTTAATGAAAAAATCTTAGTAGGCTTTGCAATCTTTGTCAGAAATATTTTTGACGTTTAAATGTCAGTTTTTCTTACTATTATTATTGTTTTTCAAATTAATTTTTGAATAAAGTTCTATCGCATTTACGCTCGTTCACTCGACGTTTCAAAATTTTAAATAAAACAATAATAAAGTAAGAAAACCACTGATATTTAAACGTCAAAAATATTTCTGACAAAGATTGCAAAGCCTACTAAGATTTTTTCAATAAAAATTCATTCCAACTTTCGATTAACAACCCTACAGCTTAACAGTTAGTGTTTGCTTAATTATTTTTTTTCTCAGAAATTATTAATTTTTAGAAGAACATCAGAGAGACAAAAAAGTTTTAGAATAGTTTTATCTATCTAACTGAAATTTTTCCAATGTATTTATCATCTTCATAAAAACAATCTAGGCATAAATTGAACGGGTTTGGTTACGTTTAGTAGTTTAGAAGGGTAGATTTAAAGTACAAATAGGGTCAAAACGTGCCCTATTATGAGTTAAACATATTCCCCAAATTTCATTATCCTAGCCTTTATGGTTTTTGAGAAAAAGAAATTAAATCAAAATTTTCCGCTATTTTTGGAGGGGTGTAGCTTCTTAGGGGAGCCGAAGTCACCCATGGTTCATACATCAAAGTACCATTAAAATTCACTAAAGAATCACCCCTTGAAGTTTGTTGCAGTCATTCAGATACACCCTGTATAATACTCTATACTTACCTTTATAATTAACCTCAAAATTAATAAAAATACATTATTTTATAAGTAGGCTGTGATAAATTAAGTGATCGCGTTGCTAGGATACCGGAATAAACAGAAAATTTTGAAAATACTATAATATTTTTACCGTAATATTTTCCCTGTATATCAAAAACGAAGATGGTTATGAAAATTTGGTGTGCGCCATTATAAGTTTCACAAAAAAGTAGCTCAGGTTCGCGAAAACCGCAACTTTCTATCTTTCATAATAACTGAGATACCCTGCAAACCCATCGAAATTTGGCCACCTGTACAACGTCATCATTGCAAGTATGCAACCAATATCACACTGAATATATCTGAATACGCAAATCGCGTATTGCAATACCAATGTTGTAATATTGGTTGCATACTTGCACTGTATATGGTTAGCACGGTCGATGACGTCACAAAAAGTGACGTCATCGACCGTGCTAAGTTTTACCCTTTTCCATTTTTTTTTATTTGTAACAGCTTGAGTGATTTCTCATCGATTAAAAAAATTTTCGAGTTTTAAGCGACATGATTCCTGAATTATACCAAAGTCAGTGTTATATTAAATCATAAACTAGTTTCTTTAAGCTTCAAGCGTGTTGATAACTTTGGCAAACAACATATTTTTTTAGACTTACTTGTTAAAGTATTGCCATCACCATGTTTATAAAAAATAATGGCTAGTTGAAGAATTTGTTGAGGAGCAGCTTCGAGATAACACTCTAAAACTCTTAATAAAGCCACATCAGAGTCCTCTTGAATCATCAGTTTATAATATTTCCTTTGGTTTTCGATATTTTTCTCTTTCTCAGCCTTTTTTGATTTAATGGCATATCGTAAGGCATCAAAATATCTAAGTACTGGCGCCAGTTGAAATAGAAGTATTATTAGGTAGCACAGCCTTCGTTTTGTAAATCGTTTTGTTAATGGTTTCATTTGAGTATCTTCTTTATTTTGGCAATACCTTAAAAATTATTAAATTAATTATACAAATGTGTCACTATTATTGCTGTTACTCATAAAATACAAAATCAGTTATTATATCAGCTATATAATGTATCTTTTCTTCTTATATGTGTAGTGAAGCAGAAATAGACTGTATGATGACTCTCTCATTAATCATGTAATAAGATTTACCTCGCCAATTTGACGTAAGTAGAGAAACTTAACTTTTTCAATCTTCTAAACAGAGATTTATCAATATTTAAAGAAATTTGACTTTCTACAACGATTAAAGATCTTCCTTTTCGTATTTAGTACAAGAGATAATGAGGAATAGAGAAATGCCTCTAAGGTTTTCTTCCACCAATCGAGAATTTAGAAATAAGTTCGTTTTGTTAATAATTTTGTTGCAAATATTTGGTGAATTTCTTCAATCATGGTTTCATTCATCATTTGCATCATTCACAAAAAATGACAAAGTGGCTCATATCATCAAACCAAAGAAAAAATTAAGCCAACCCATGAGTTGCGTTTTATATAGTTTCGTTACGCGGATGACACCTTTATGATCTGGCAGCATGGAAAAGCGCATCTCCAGAAGTTCCTAGAACTACCTAAACTTGCAACAACCCATGATCAAACTTACCATGGAAACGAAAGCTGCTCAACAATTACCTTTTTTGGATGTTTTGGGTTGGGTTGGGTTAGATTGAATGATAATAGCCAAGAAAAATGCGAGCTTATATCCGATATTTGAGCTTATGATGCAAATGGGTTAAGATTTCATCACTTATACAGAATTGTTTGTGATTTTGGTTGAAATGGGTAAAGATTTCCAAATAAAAATGTACCCATTTTAATTTAATAAAACCAATTCATACATCACTCACACAACACAACATTACATTACCTTTCTCAAGGTACTTAATCTTATTGTATATTCTTTATCTCTGATTAGATCAAAATGTAAATATTATCTAACATAAAGTCACATCACTGAATTTAATATAATATTATGTATAAATCCTAAAAGCTCTGATTATTATTAATAACTGATTTTATATATTATCCATAACATGCTTAAAAATAATCTATCTTACATTTTTATACTAAAAGCCGTATTAATAACAGCAGGAACCAATATAAATATGAGTGTTAAGACGTAATAATACTGATTGGGATTATCCACATAATATCTATAAGCGACATTTATGTCCAATCCTACATCAACCAAATGGGTGATTATGGAAAAGACAAAACCTGCTATATCCCATCTTGTAACTCTGTCCTTCGATGGTAAATAATCGGTGGTATCCTGCTGTATGGCACTATCACAAGCCCGTATCTGAAACGGTGTCATATCACGATAACGGAGATAAAACCTCAGGACCACATTTTTTTCTAATCGAATAAAGGTTATGATGACACAAATGGCATTTTGGTTATTATAAATAGAACTTCAGGTTTGCATCAGGTTGCTCTTTGGAATTTGGCTGAGTAATTCGAATGTGACGTATTCAATTTTCACAGCAATTATGAAAAACACCTTTATTTTTGTAAAATTTTCCTTTTAACCTTATTTTATAGTCCTTTTGACAACTTGATGCAACTTGTAGTTATATATCCATGGTATTTTAAGTAAATAAGAAAATAAAACACTTTTTCCTCGATATGTCTTCTTACAAGAATAAATTACCTTTTAAATAGAGCTATTCCAAAAAAATAATTTTTAAAATTAAAAAAAGAAGTAAACTTTTTAGATATAATTGATGATCTATGTATTTATTATATCTATGAGTATCTGTCAACATTGACAAGTATGTGTGCGTCCTAAAAGTAAATAGTCTTTTTAGCGGAATTCTTAAATAATTTGAATAGATATGGCAACTAGAAGCTTAACGGAAGTTTTTGTGTTAATGAGAAATAATGCAATTAGAAGTAGACACATTTATAATGATCAAGTAAGTTTTAGGTTATGTATGTATTTTTATTCAATTCATCATTTTTTAAGGACACCTCGGAGCGTATGCAACTAGTTTCGTTAAATGATACTGAAGAAGGAGCAGGTGGTGATTATTTAGATAACTCAATGCCCCCAGAATGGATAGATCAACTAGAAGAATCACAATTTACTATATCCAAGTTAAAAACAAAAATCCAAGATATAAAACTGCTTCATTCCAGGCATTTCAACAGACCAACATTTGATGATAACACAGAGGATGAAAAACTAATTGAAAATTGTAGTGCTGAAATTCAGGGAATGTTCAATGTGGTTTATAGAAATGTTCAATACATTAAGGGTCATTCGGGTGATGGAAATATGAAACAAAGACAATTAACATTAAGTGTTGTCAGAGCTTTAGCTAATATCCTACAAGATTTATCAACACAATTCAGAAGTACACAGAATAATTATTTAAGACAGATTCAGTCGAGAGAAGAGAGATCGAAAATATTTTTTGATAATCCAGCTTTAGAAGAAGACAGTATGATGTTGGGTCAAGAAGAAGATATTGATGAGTATTTTTTGAATTCCAGACAAAGTCAACAACTGTTACAACTTGAAGAAGAAAACACTAGAATGATACAACAAAGGGAACACAAAGTTAATGCTATTGTTAAATCTATTTTGGATTTGAATTCGATTTTTAAAGATTTATCACAAATGGTAGCTGATCAAGGAACAATTTTAGATAGAATAGATTATAACGTTGAACAAACCCAAACACAAGTTTATGAGGGTTTTAAACAACTTCAAAAAGCTGATGCTTATCAAAGGAAAAATCGAAAAATGTGTACTATCATTATTTTAGCAACTGCTGTTATTGTTTTAGTGGTTCTATTAATTTTAGTTAAAACCTAGTCTGGTATCAATATTTTATTTGTTCTTATAAATATTCATTATTAACTTTACTGAATTTATATAGGATCAAAACTGACTTTTTAATTCTGTGATTTAATTATTCCTTAATCTATTAATTTGTTTTTGTCATTATTATTTATTAATTTAAGTTTTAAAACTATCATTTACTTATATTTTAAAAAAGGTATCATGTAAGTTATAATGTACATCATAAAAAAATTAAATAAATCATTGTAAATAAAAGAAAACTAAAAATATGTATGCTTATTTAAAATTTTTTTGTTAAAAAACATGAGACATCTATAGGAAAGCCCTAACAGAGTATAACTTGGCTATCCATAAAGCCAAAAGAAAAACCTGGCGTTGCTTCTGTGAAGGCATAGACAATACGCCTACAGTTGCTCGCCTGCATAAGACTTTGGCGAAAGACCATAACACTGACTACTACTGCCACCTATACAAACAAGACAGAAAACACAATGAGGATACTAAGGAATCGCTGAAGCTCTTACTCAGCACGCACTTCTCTTTCTCAAAAGTCTGCCCCCATGCATATGCCGACCCTGAAGTAATAGATATAGCAGCATGGCTATTTCTAATTTTAAGCCCCTAAAATCTCCTGGAGGGGATGGAATTCTGCCTATCTTGCTGCAAAACGCCATAGAAGACCTGCTCCCAGTAATAATATCCCTATATATAGTAAACTACAGCTTTAGCCTTCATACCTAAAGCTGGTAGGCGTTTAAACGCCGATCCCAAGATATACAGACCAATTAGCCTAACTTCATTTCTCCTCAAAGGGATGGAAAAGATAATTGATCAATACCTTAGGAATGGAGTGCTTGTCACTAATTCACTTCATCCTAGTCAACATGCTTACCAGAAAGCAAAATAAACAATTACTGCTCCCCATGCTTTGACTAGCATTTTAGAGGATACAATTGCAACCAAAGAGATAGCCCTATGTGCTTTCATAGACATAGAGTGTGCTTTTGATGACACCACCTACGAATCCATAGAGAATGCTCTACACGTAAAAGATATAGGGTGAGTGCTCCCCACCTCTCTTATGGTGCCTGGTAGTTGATGACTTGATGAACACCTTAACAAAAAATGGATTCATGATTTAGGGGTATGCTGATGACCTCGTAATCATAATCCGAGGTAAATACGACAACTAGACAGGTAAGTATGAAACAACCTGGTATAGTTAGTGTAGTATGGAACAATAGATGGCGTTACGGGTTAATAAAAATACTTGTATCGGCGGCCATGTCACTTTTTACTTTTTATCTAGTCGTTGTACCGTCCGCAGCTAGTTAACGTGAATTGTATCTAAAAGCACTGTTTTATTAGTAAATGATTATAGTTTATTGGAACTTTAATTTATTAACACCTTACACATCATACGACAAATTGGCGACGAGGNTATTTGTTCTTATAAATATTCATTATTAACTTTACTGAATTTATATAGGATCAAAACTGACTTTTTAATTCTGTGATTTAATTATTCCTTAATCTATTAATTTGTTTTTGTCATTATTATTTATTAATTTAAGTTTTAAAACTATCATTTACTTATATTTTAAAAAAGGTATCATGTAAGTTATAATGTACATCATAAAAAAATTAAATAAATCATTGTAAATAAAAGGAAACTAAAAATATGTACCTATGCTTATTTAAAATTTTCTTTTTTTACAATATGAATTAATTTTAGACGTCACATTATTATTACGAAGGCGTTCATTGCTGGTGTTTATTTTACTAGAACTAACAGTAGATCTAGAACTAGAAACATTCGCGTTTAGCTCTCTTAAGAGACGCAAGGCTAAACCCAAATGAATCAAGCTGTCCAATAAAACACAAGAGAGCACAATTCAATGTGCCTTGGTGGAATAAGGACCTTGAGCAACAGCGAGTCATGGTTAGAAGGCTATATAATAAAGTCAGGCATTTCAAACTCGAGCAAACATGGGACCTCTGTAGGAAAGCCCTAACAGAGTGTGATTTGGCGAGAAAAACCTGGAGTAGCTTCTATGAAGGGATAGACAATACGCCAACAGTTGCTCGCCTGCATAAGATCTTGGCGAAAGACCATAAGACTGATCTAGGCCACCTATGCAAACACGACGGAAAACACAATGAGGATGCTAAGGAGCTCTTACTGAGCATGCACTTCCCTTCCTCAAAAGTCTGCCCCCATGCAGATGCCGACCCTGAAATAATGGATATAGAAGCATAGCTGGGAATATCTTTACACCCAACAGAGTAAGGTGGACTATTTCTAATTTTAAGGCCCGAAAATCGCCTGGAGGGGATGGAATTTCGCCTATCTTTCTGCATATATATACTAAGCTACAGCTTTAGCTATATGTATACTTACACTATGGAGGAAAGTAAAGGTGGCCTTCATACCTAAAGCTGGTAGGCGTTTAAACGCCGATCCCAAGATATACAGACCAATTAGCCTAACTTCATTTCTCGTCAAAGGGATGGAAAAGATAATTGATCAATACTTTAGGAATGGAGTGCTTGTCACTAATCCACTTCATCCTAGTCAACATGCTTACCAGAAAGCAAAATCAACAATTACTGCTCTCCATTCTTTGAGTAGCACTTTAGAGGTTACAATTGCAACCAAAGAGATAGCCCTATGTGCTTTCATAGACATAGAGGGTGCTTTTGATAACACCACCTACAAATCCATAGAGAATAATCAAATGGTGTATAGCCATGTGGAAAAGTCGGCAGATCACAGCCAGTCTGGGAAGCGAGTCGTTGGCTATTAAGGCGCTAAGAGAATGTTCTCAAGGGGGAGTGCTCTCACCTCTCCTATGGTGCCTGGTAGTTGATGACTTGATGAACACCTTAACAAAATTATTACCTGGTAATCATAATCCGAGGTAAATACGACACAATCATAACTCAACTAATGCAGAAAGCCCTAGTACTTACCAGCGCGTGGTGCAGAAGCAATGGACTCAGCATCAATCCAAACAAAATCGAAATAGTCACTTTCAATTGCAGAAGGAAGCTACAATTGAGAGCACCCTCCATTGAAAGCAGAACTATTAATCTCAAAACAGAACTTAAATACCTAGTGGTAATGGACAAGGCGAGGAAAAAGGCCGTTATGGTTAATCAGATCTGTCGCAGACTCCTCGGAAGGAACGGGGGTCTCAAACCACGAATGGCTCATTGGGCCTACGTAGCAATAATCAGACCGAATGGTCGCCTACGCCTCACTGGTTTGGTGGCCAAAAATAAATCATAAGACAGCAAAACAATTACCACAAATCCAGCGCTTAGCATGTCTTAATATAACGGGTGCAATGAGATCTTGTCCGACGGCTGCTTTTGAAGCCCTACTCACATCACTTCATTTATATATACAAAAGGAGGCAGCTTTAAGTGTCTTATCACTGAAAACATGCTCTTCACTCAAGCTGATGCAGGGTAACCTCAAAGAACATCTCGAAATCCTCAAGGACCGATGTCTAAATCACTTGATTGAAATTGAGACGAATCTTATACCGACAGAATACAACTTCGACCAGCCGTATAAGGATACATTTAGAAGCAGGGAAGAGGAGTCCTTGCCTGGTACTCGGATGCTTCAAAGACAGTTGGATCCTGAGTGGACCAAATAGCCGCATTAAAATGCCCTTCAGCTCGGACATAACCATTTTTCTAGCAGAAGTTCTTGCAATACAGTTATATACAGGTTGTGATTTTTTGTTGTTTTTTTATATACATTTAAGTTGAGGTTCAATGTTTCTAAATTGATTTCAAAGTGTGATTTTTCAGCAAATTTCAGCCCTCTAAAGTTTAGGGGAAAAATTGTTTTTATTTATTAAATCCACTATAGAGGAATTTTTAAGAATGAAATTTAGCAGATAACTGTTGCTAATAAAATGACTCCTTTTGACAATTTTTGTAACCTTAAAATGTTATTACAAGGGGCTGAAAAATTAACCCTTACAAATACTTTGCATCAGAACTTTTTAATGCGTCTACATTTTTCTATTTAAAAACTTGATGTAAATAGAGGGATTCAATACGCAACTTTTAGTCGCTTGACATTTTATCCTAAAATTGTAAGTTTGACCACAAGAAAATAAAATAATACACAGGCTCAAGTGAATTAATTCAGAGATAGGGTATTATTAGTCAAAAAAATGAAATTATGTAAAATTAATAAAATTAGATTATGTAAAATTAACCTCAGCATTATTTTATTTTTTGTAATCACAATAACAGTTTGTTAGTTGTAAAATGTTAAGAGATAAGAAAGTTGCAGATTTTTTCTCTCAACTTTAGAGGGCTATAACTTGGAGAAGAAGAGGTTTTCAACAAAAAGTTATATGAAAGACATCCTTTAATTTTCGCTCAAAAATCATCCTTTGAAATCTTTCGCATCAATTTAGAAACACCCTGTATATAAGATAACTTTTGCACCACATTTTCACAGATAGAAGGGCCACCCTAAATGCAATTCAGGCCTACGAGTGTGACTCCGCACTGATCAGAGAGTGTACGAGCAAGCTGAGAGATCTCGCTAGGGACAATGATGTTACTCTATGGTTGGTTCCAGGTCACAGAGACTTTAAGGGCAATGAGAAGGCAGACAAGCTGTCCAAAAAGACAGCGGAAACGCCCTTCATTGAACCCCAACTCAGTTGTGGACTACTAAAAAAGCCCCCTAAAACAAGTAATCAACAGTTGGGAGGGCTCAAAGGTACCCTTGCTACGCTGGAACAAACTTCTTCGAAAATACCACCTCTTCCACATTGGACAAGCTGAGGATCAAACATGTCGACTTTGCAATGACATGTCAGAAACGGCCTATTAGCATCCTCCCATTTCTTTGTAAGGTCTTTAAGAGGGTGATCCAGAATCAACAGTCACAATTTGCCAACCTATATAATATCCTTACACCTACTCAGTTTGGATTTAGGGACGGACATAGTTGTACGACGGCGATGTTGGCTGTTACGGACGACATTATGTAGGCTACAGATAGGGGCGCTATTACAATAATGACACTGTTGGATTATAGTAAGGCGTTTGATACGGTTAACCACATAACGTTGTTAAAAGTTTTAAAATAGTTTGGTCTGAGTAAGTGTGGACGGCAACTCCTTTGTAGTTACCGAAATGATCGTTGCTAAGTTGTTCAAATTGATAATATGTTGTCTGCTCTTAGACTGGTAGAGCATGGTGTCCCATAGGGTTTAATAATCGCGCCACTCTTGTATACCTTATACACTTCACTTATTTTTAAAGGCATTAACCTGTATATACAAATCATAGAATGAGTTGCCTATTGAGCTTAGGATTGCAAAGTTTGACTCGAGAGTCAAACTTTGATTATCAATCAGGGATGATATTTGAATGCGTTGGGCGACGCTTTCAGTTGGTAGCACTGGTTGGCTGTTTGGCGGTCTGGCTTTTTTGATTGTTTGTTTGTAGCTTTGCACAATAAACGATTATTTATTTATATACTATGTAATTGCGTTTCCAGAGGCCGTCTAAGACACAAAATTTCCGGTAAAGCTTTTTTGACACCTACCGACATAATGGAACAAGATCTTGGCGCAATACTAAGGTTCATTAAGAACCTACATTTGCAATAAACTTTTAAAGGACTAAAGTTACAATAGATCTTATAGGTCGCGGTGAGGAGAGGGGCCGCTCCCCTCAGTCTGGCAACAATAATAATAATAAAACTATAATTAATATAATAAAACCCGAAATTGTTAGTTGTTTTTTATGGGATAAAAATGTGGATGATAAAACTGGGTAGCTTAACTAATATTGTTGGAATAAACAACATAAACCAGTTGCATAAAAAATAATTATAATTAATTTCTTTATTTTTATTGAAAAAAAAAATCTGTATAAATCGCACCCACCATACCAAAGAATAAACACTTCAAAATCATTCTTCTTGAAACATTGTCACATTAATAAACATATACTGAACTAATTGAACACAGTGGTGCTGAGCAAAAAAAAATAATACAACCCAAAAAAACAAAATTAATTAAAAAGAATCGTTAAAATCGTCGTTTATAAATAAAAAAAAAATTACAATCCTAATTATTTGATTTAAACCTCTTTATAAGTATCATCCACATGTTTCTTGTACTGCGCCTGTTTTTTCCATAATTCTGCTGCGGTCGAATTAAGTGGACTACTAATGTTGGGTTCACCAAGAAGAGCTTGTATTGATAACAATATTGTCCGTACATCGTACAATGCCGACCATTTATCCTTGAGAATGTCCAAACAAATGTTACCGCTGTTGTCTACATTGGGATGAAAGCAAGGTGTGATAAATTTTACTAAAGGGGCTGAATAAGGATAGGCTTGTGGAAATTGTAAACTGAGTTTGTATTTTTGATTGTCATAAACCGTGTCTTTAGGGCCCATTATAGTTCCAATCCATTTAAATAAATTATCGCCTTCAGGAAAAGCTGAAACGCTTTTGTCTTGAGACATCATTAAAGTCATCAATTCTTTATGTAATCTAACAAAAAAAAATAAAATGAGAAAGAAGTAAAGTTTTATTTTTAAAAACTAAACACGTGTATATTTCGTGGAAACTTGTAAAATATGTGGTTTTTTATAACCGAATTTTAGATTTATAGGTTATGTTCAAAAAGAAATTTTACCTTTTCGTGACTGCGTGGTTATCTGTAGTAAATCTATTACTCTCGTCGCTTTGTTTAACACTGCTGGGTTGTTGTTCATAAGAAGGATTAACATTTTGGGCCATAATTTAAGTAATATTCACTAAAACACAATCCTGATCAAACGCCACTGTCCAAAACGACAGATAAAAATTTATTTTTCAAATTAACCAATCAAATCACAGACAGTTAGTTTCTAATTAATGGCGCTGATGGCTCAAATTTCAAATTTAAAAATTATTTTTAAACAATAAATTATTTCAAAACTATTTCTAAATAAAACTATTTTAAAACAGTTAAAAATAAACCAATTTATTTATTAATTTAATAAATTTATTCTCCACTTCCTAATAATTGACAGCTAATTCGATATTGATGGCGCTGACATCGTTAAATTTCAAATAAAAATCATTTATAATTAATAATTTAAAATGTTTTGGTAAAAACAAATTAATTTAAAAACTTTTATTCAACGCGTACAACGTTATAATGTATAAATCATAAATTAAACCAATAAAAAAAATAACTGTTAAAATCAGATGTTAACCCCTCTTTTTGACATAAAGTATTTTGCAAAAATCAGCTTTAAAATGCAAAGACAACAAAGATTAACTAAAGAATTAGCGAAATTATCTCGACAACCAACTCCGGGAATTTCAGTGAGTGCCAAAGATGATAAATTAAATAGTTTGGAAGCGAGTATCTTAGGTCCAGAAAATACACCATACGAAGACGGTGTTTTTCATTTAGATCTTTTAATTCCTGACGATTACCCTTTTAATCCTCCTTCAATCAAGTTTATTACTAAAGTTTATCATCCTAATATTGATGACAATGGACGAATATGTTTGGATTTACTAAAAATGCCTCCAACAGGAAATTGGAAACCTACGATTGGAATTGAAGGATTGCTTATAGCAATTAGGATGTTATTGGGAAATCCGAACCCTAAAGATCCTTTAATGGCTGATATCGCTGAAGAATTTTTAACAAATAAAAAGGAATTTGAAAAGAAAGCAAAAGAATATTGTAAAAAGTATGCTTAAGAGTTATAATAAAGTATTTTTGTAATAATTAGTTTAGTTTTTATTTATTCATTTAGTTAGAATCTCTAAAATCTATATTAATAAATAATTATTTACAAACACAACATCTATTAGTTTAAAAAAACATTCATTATTATTTATTGCCTTCGTTTTCAATGTTCACATTGGTTTCACTATTATTTTTATTTTCTTCACTTTTACATAGAGTTTCCTTTTGTTCATAATCTTCATCTTCTTTACATTCCTCAGCTAAACTACTTCGAAGTGCTTCAGCGAAAGCATCAGGATATTGCGTAGATAATTTGCTTTTAATAGCTCTAATTTTTCTAAAAATATAATCTAAATCTTTTTTCATTTCATGAAGAGTTTGACTGTGCTTTTTAAATTCAGGACCAACAGTTTTTAACCGATTAGCACTCAATGCATTACAATTTGTAAGCATTTCATTAGTTTTCTCAAACCTTTGTAACCTAAAAAAATTATATACATTAATATTAGCTTTAAGCAGCTTTATTATGGAATGAAAAGGTATAATTTAGGATTTTTACATTTGCTTTTGGGCCCTAATCATAGTTTCAACGTCTTGTTGATCTACAATACCAGCTAATCCTTGTATAAATACTTCGGGGGCTGTGTAATTTTGAAAACACTCTATGCTAAAATCACTTTCCGTTTCTGGAGTTTCTTTCGATTCTTCCATTTTAATTACAAGGTGTCTTTTTTAATTATAATGATGTGTTTGGTTAATATTGAGATAAATTGTTGGATATATCTGCAATAAGTTTTGTCAAAAGGTTATGGTTAGATATTTTGGTTGCCTATATTCAAGGAAATGTGATTAAAGTAAGAAATAAATTAATTTTTAGGCAACTTATTTAACATAAAATTTGTTATGCCATCTTTAATTAAACAGGTAAGTTAAAAGATTGCTGTTCAAATTTTAAATAAGATCTGTAAGATTTATTTTTAAGTATAAAATATGGTAAATGTTGAAAATGTTTCTTATTGATAAAATAAGTAGTAAATTATTAGGAGGAAAGTTTCTAAAATTTTATGGACCAAATAGACTGATGTTTTTTCATCAACTTTTTGCTCCGAAACGAGTAAACAAAACAGCTTAAAGCAAGGTGTTGCCCTGATATCGATCCGACTTTCGGTAATTATTCGACGGTAATGTGTTTTTAATATATTTTGTGTGCAGATCGCGGTCGCAGATGTTCCACACGTGCCACCATTGTCGGCCCTGCTAAATTTACCTAATGTCCTTGTTGAAAGAAAACTCTCCTAAACCTCCTTTTGCAAATCTTAATCTTTTTTTTTTTTTCCAAAAAGAAATTCTTCGTATCCCTAAAAACAAATTATAAACAATTCCTCGGGCACGTTGAGACTGACAAAACTGATTTACATCGAAATGGGAAATTTCAAATTACGCATTTCTTGTGCCAACACGTGGTATGGACCAGAGAAAAGTTTAATTCTCCTGGCAATGTTTTGAGGCGCGTTCTCGAAGGTTTCCGGTGAACTATTTAAGACTGTTAACTTGTTAGCAAAGTTTAATTAATTTTTCTCGTTTTGGCCTCCCTTGTAGTCAGTCTCCAGTCTCCGATCGAATTCTCTCCCATCAGGTACACGCACACCGCGTTCTTGCTGACTTTACCTTCTATACTAAACTAACTGACATTTTAAAGAAAACGTGTTACCAACAGCCAACAAGTTTAGTTAATTTTCATTAAAAAAACTGTAGGTAGCTTAAAAAAAAAATTATAAAACAAATTTTAACTGATTTTATTAAAAATAAAATGTCTACAATCGCATACAAATTAAAATTAGTGTTAATAAATTAATGATATTCTTTATCTTCTTCTTCTTCTTGCTCTTCACCTACGCTGGAGGGATGGATTGCGCCGATACTAGTATTCTGACTATCTCAAGTGTGATAGATTCCATCTTACGGATTAGGCAATATGCGACCTTATGATCAATATATTCTTTGCACAACTCGACACCAGTGTAATGATAGATCCCAGTGTTAGTGCGCTTCAGAAAATGCTATTTTCTTCAACTTCGCTGGGTTGAAGCATAGATCATGACGAAACAATTCCGGATGGCCGCAGTGCTGTGTCATCAGGGGAATGTGAGAAATGGTCTAGAATTCGGAAGGTACCTAATTGCCGAAACTTCTCTGCAGGTCGATGGGTTCAGGGAGGCAAGATACTCTGGTAAATCATTCAGACTATGGCTGGTTGCTCCGTTGATGGTGATGATGCGATGAACCTCAAATTTGTGAGCATTCAAACCTGATGCTTTTCATCAAACGAGTTCATCTTCATTCCAACGGATGTCTTCGATGTTAAATTGAGCAGCTTCTCTTCGCTGGATTGAAGCATAGATCATCACGAAACTATACCGGATGGCAGAAGTGCAGTGTCATCAGGAGAATGTGAGAAATGCTCTAGAATTCGAAAGGAGCCGAAACTTGTCTGCAGGTGGATGGATTCAGGGAAGCAAGATACACTGGTAAATCATTCAGACAATGCTTGGTTGCTCCGTTGATGGTGTTGACGCGATGAACCTCAAATTTGTTAGCATTCAAACTTGATGCTTTTGATCGAAACGAGTTTATCTTCATTCCAACGGATGCCTTCGATGTCAAATTGAGCAGCTTCTCTTCGCTGGGTTGAAGCATTGATCATGACGAAACAATTCCGGATGGCCGAAGTGCTGTGTCATCAGGAGAATGTGATAAATGGTCTAGAATTCGAAAGGAGCCGAAACATCTCTGCAGGTGGATGGATTCAGGGAGGCCAAATATTCTGGTAAATCATGCAGATTATGCCTGGTTGCCCCGTTGATGGTGATGACGCGATGAACCTCAAATTTGTGACCATTCAAACTTGATGCTTTTGATCGAAACGAGTTCATCTTCATTTCAACGGATGCCTTCGATATCAAATTGAGCATCTTCTCTTAGCTGGGTTGAAGCATAGATCATCACGAAACAATACCGGATGGCCGAAGTGCTGTGTCATCAGGAGAATGTGAGAAATGGTCCAGAATTCGAAAGGAGCCGAAACTTCTCTGCAGGTGGATGGATTCAGGGAGGCAAAATATTCTGGTAAATCATGCAGATTATGCCTGGTTGCCCCGTTGATGGTGATGCCGCGATGAACCTCAAATTTGTTGGCATTCAAACTTAATGCTTTTGATCAAACGAGTTCATCTTCATTCCAACGGATGCCTTCGATGTCAAATTGAGCAGCTTCTCTTCGCTGGGTTGAAGCATAGATCATCACGAAACAATACCGGATGGCCGAAGTGCTGTGTCATCAGGAGAATGTGAGAAATGGTCTAGAATTCGAAAGGTACTTAATTGCCGAAACTTCTCTGCAGGTGGATAGATTCAGGGAGGCAATATATTCTGGTAAATCATGCAGATTATGCCTGGTTGCTCCGTTGATGGTGTTGACGCGATGAACCTCAAATTTGTTAGCATTCAAACTTAATGCTTTTGATCAAACGAGTTCATCTTCATTCCAACGGATGCCTTCGATGTCAAATTGAGCAGCTTCTCTTCGCTGGGTTGAAGCATAGACCATGGCGAAACAGTTCTGGATGGCCGCAGTGCTGTGTCATCAGGAGAATGTGAGAAATGGTCTATCGATGAGACTTCGGCATAGATCTTGATATCATCAGCATATCCCAACATCCGACAATCAATTTTTAGAAGTAAGTCATTTATGAAAGAACAAATAATAGAGGGCCCAAATTTGATCCCTGTGGAACCCCTGAGGTAAGAGTGAACTCATTAGAAAAATATCCATTGTAAGCAACATAACATTTTCTATGTTGCAAATAAGAGGCCAGAAGTTGAATTGCTGAAGGAACAAATTCGAAAGAGCTCAATTTATACAAGAGAATTCTATGGTCAATCAGATCAAAGGCTTTGGATAGATCAGTGTATACAACATCCACCTGCCCACGTCTATCCAAGGTGCTACAGATAAACTCGGAAATCGCAGCCAAGTTGGTAATTGTAGAGCGACCGGAAACAAAACCATGCTGGGAAGCTGACACAAAGGGGCACGAGCTGGTGTACATAAAAGAATATAATAACTTTTCAAATAGTTTAGCAAAATTGGAAATTATCGAAATTGGTCTATAGTTTGAGAGGGACGTACGATCATCCTTTTTATAAACAGGCACAATTCTTGATCGTTTTCATCTCCAGCAGTATGCTTATTAGAAAACGTTGCCATTAATTTAATTAGCTCCTCTTCTGTAGTGGGATGAAAAGAGTATGGCAACGGATTGAAATTAGATTCAGTGAAAGTTCGATCAGTAGATACAGTGTGAACAGCAGAAAACATGTCAGCAAAAGCATTTACAATATCTTGAGGATCAGCAAGAACATTGCTCTCACTATCAATCAGATTACAGGGTATTCTTGTGGTACGTTTCTTAGCTCGGAAAAAATTCCATATACTGGACGGATCAGTCTTGATGGTATTTTGTATGTTGTTAAGATACTTAATGTAACTGTCGTTTATTTCATTTTTATGGCCGAAGTGCTGTGTCATCAGGAGAATGTGAGAAATGGTCTAGAATTCGAAAGGTACTTAATTGCCGAAACATCTCTGCAGGTGGATAGATTCAGGGAGGCAAAATATTCTGGTAAATAATGCAGATTATGCCTGGTTGCCCCGTTGATGGTGATGACGCGATGAACCTCAAATTTGTGAGCATTCAAACTTGATGCTTTTGATCAAACGAGTTCATCTTCATTCAAACGGATGCCTTCGATGTCAAATTGAGCAGCTTCTCTTCGCGGAGTTGAAGCATAGATCATGACGAAACAATTCCGGATGGCCAAAGTGCTATGTCATCAGGAGAATGTGAGAAATGGTCTAGAATTCGAAAGGTACTTAATTGCCGAAACTTCTCTGCAGGTGGATGGATTCAGGGAGACAAAATATTCTGGTAAATCATGCAGATTATGCCTGGTTGCCCCGTTGATGGTGATGACGCGATAAACCTCAAATTTGTGAGCATTCAAACTTGATACTTTTGATCAAACGAGTTCATCTTCATTCCAACGGAAGCCTTTGATGTCAAATTGAGCTGCTTCTCTTCGCTGGGTGGAAGCATAGATCATCACGAAACAATACCGGATGGCCGAAGTGCTGTGTCATCAGGAGAATGTGAGAAATGGTCTAGAATTCGAAAAGTTCCTAATTGGCGAAATTTCTCTGCAGCTGGATGGATTCAGGGAGGCAAAATATTCTGGTAAATCATGCAGATTATGCCTGGTTGCCCCGTTGATGATGATGACGCGATGAACCTCAAATTTGATCAAACGAGTTCATCTTCATTCCAACGGATGCCTTCGATGTAAAATTGAGCAGCTTCTCTAAACATATCTGTGTAGACTCTTCGGGTGCGTTNAGTGCTGTGTCATCAGGAGAATGTGAGAAATGGTCTAGAATTCGAAAGGTACTTAATAGCCGAAACTTCTCTGCAAGTGGATGGATTCAGGGAAGCAAGATATTCTGGGAAATCATTCAGATTATGCCTGGTTGCTCCATTGATGGTGATGACGCGATGAACCTCAAATTTGTGACCATTCAAACTTGACGCTTTTGATCGAAACGAGTTCATCTTCATTCCAACTTATGCCTTCGATATCAAATTCAGCATCTTCTCTTCGCTGGGTTGAAGCATAGATCATCACGAAACAATACCGGATGGCCGAAGTGCAGTGTCATCAGGAGAATGTGAGAAAATGATCTAGAATTCGAAAGGAGCCGAAACTTCTCTGCAGGTGGATGAATTCAGGGAGGCAAGATATTCTGGTAAATCATGCAAATTATACCTGGTTGCCCCGTTGATGGTGATGACGCGATGACACTCAAATTTGTTAGCATTCAACTTGATGCTTTTGATCGAAACGAGTTCATCTTCATTCCAACGGATGCCTTCGATGTCAAATTGAGCATCTTCTCTTCGCTGGGTTGAAGGATGGCCGGATGGCCGAAGTGCTGTGTCATCAGGAGAATGTGAGAAATGGTCTAGAATTCGAAAGGTACTTAATAGCCGAAACTTCTCTGCAAGTGGATGGATTCAGGGAAGCAAGATATTCTGGGAAATCATTCAGATTATGCCTGGTTGCTCCATTGATGGTGATGACGCGATGAACCTCAAATTTGTGACCATTCAAACTTGACGCTTTTGATCGAAACGAGTTCATCTTCATTCCAACTTATGCCTTCGATATCAAATTCAGCATCTTCTCTTCGCTGGGTTGAAGCATAGATCATCACGAAACAATACCGGATGGCCGAAGTGCAGTGTCATCAGGAGAATGTGAGAAAATGATCTAGAATTCGAAAGGAGCCGAAACTTCTCTGCAGGTGGATGAATTCAGGGAGGCAAGATATTCTGGTAAATCATGCAAATTATACCTGGTTGCCCCGTTGATGGTGATGACGCGATGACACTCAAATTTGTTAGCATTCAACTTGATGCTTTTGATCGAAACGAGTTCATCTTCATTCCAACGGATGCCTTCGATGTCAAATTGAGCATCTTCTCTTCGCTGGGTTGAAGGATGGCCGGATGGCCGAAGTGCTGTGTCATCAGGAGAATGTGAGAAATGGTCTAGAATTCGAAAGGTACTTAATAGCCGAAACTTCTCTGCAAGTGGATGGATTCAGGGAAGCAAGATATTCTGGGAAATCATTCAGATTATGCCTGGTTGCTCCATTGATGGTGATGACGAGATGAACCTCAAATTTGTGACCATTCAAACTTGATGCTTTTGATCGAAACGTTCATCTTCATTCCAACGGATGCCTTCGATGTCAAATTGAGCAGCTTCTCTTCGCTGGGTTGAAGCATAGATCATCACGAAGCAATACCGGATGGCCGAAGTGCTGTGTCATCAGGAGAATGTAAGAAATGGTCCAGAATTCGAAAGGATTGCCAAGGTGGATGGATTTAGTGAAGCAAGATATTCTGGGAAATCATTCAGACTATGCCTGGTTGCTCCGTTGATGATGATGACACGATGAATCTCAAATTTGTTAGCATTCAACTTGATGCTTTTGATCAAACGAGTTCATCTTCATTCCAACGGATGCCTTCGATGTCAAATTGAGCAGCTTCTCTTCGCTGGGTTGAAGCATAGATCATCACGAAACAATACCGGATGGCCGAAGTGCTGTGTCATCAGGAGAATGTGAGAAATGGTCTAGAATTCGAAAGGAGCCGAAACTTTTCCGCAGGTGGATGGATTCAGGGAAGCAAGATACACTGGTAAATCATTCAGACTATGCCTGGTTGCCCCGTTGATGATGATGACGCGATGAACCTCAAATTTGTTAGCATTCAAACTTGATGCTTTTGATCAAACGAGTTCATCTTCATTCCAACGGATGCCTTCCACGTCAAATTGAGCAGCTTCTCTTCGCTGGGTTGAAGCATAGATCATCACGAAACAATACCGGATGGTCGAAGTGCTGTGTCATCAGGAGAATGTGAGAAATGGTCTAGAATTCGAAAGGTACTTAATTGCCGAAACTTCTCTGCAGGTGGATAGATTCAGGGAGGCAATATATTCTGGTAAATCATGCAGATTATGCCTGGTTGCTCCGTTGATGGTGTTGACGCGATGAACCTCAAATTTGTTAGCATTCAAACTTGATGCTTTTGATCAAACGAGTTCATCTTCATTCCAACGGATGCCTTCGATGTAAAATTGAGCAGCTTCTCTAAACATATCTGTGTAGACTCTTCGGGTGCGTTAATATCCTAACAATGGAGGTTCATTAAAGTCGATGGGTAGAATCTGCGTAGTTTATCTTCCTTACCTTAAATATGACGTAGTGGGATATAAGTTCCTATCCTAATTCTGTGCAATTTGATCTTAATAAATTTTTATTAATACCAAAGTAGTACCATGTAGTATTGTTTCTATATATATATCATTTTGATATTTGTTTGGGAATAACAGCCCGTTACGTTTAGCTGATTGAAAATATAAAATTGAAAAGTCATCAAAGTTAAGCACCGCGCACACGGATCGCGGGAGGCAGCGCGTGGGCGATCCCCGTACGGGGGCGGCTGTTGGAAAAGCTTGGCTGTTGTGGGGGTAAAGGGGAACTTGCGGACTGCGTTTGAAGGCAGCGGTCGCCATATTGGAAAACAAATTGCACGCGCTGCCGCTGACAGCCGCTGGATGTCTCAAAGAGCGGCCTCACAAAGCGCCGCTGCTTCTGACAACTTCAACAACTTCGGGCTTCGTTTGTTCGGGACGCAGAAAAACAACTGTTCCAACGGATTATTGAAAATTCGAAACCCTTTCAGAATTAGTTTCCACTATTTTACATTAATTTTCCGTTTCGATTTTTATTTTGAATTAAAATAAGATTGTGTCGACGTAGAATTGTTGAAATATAATTTGTGTTAAGAAAAGAAAATTTTCTTTGAGAGTTTTCTCATTTGAAAGGTGCGCAAACGTCAGGGACACGTGCTAAGAGGTGATTTTTCACCTGTCAACGACAGTGATGCCGAAAGCGGTCCTTCAAAGCTCCTTACCAGAAGGATCCCGTACAAGCTTTTCGGCCATATCACGGCCTACTTCGATGTTTGTGACTCAAAAAGCGTTCTAATTGCGTGCTGTCCACCGAAGAGGATCCCCGAAATTATTCACCGTTAACGACATTCATTTTTCAAAAAAATAGGAAATTGTTTTTGTAGGCGCTTGCGTTGAAATTGTGGCGGGAGCTTTTCGTCCAAAGCTCACCGTGTCCCGTTGCATAATACGGAATGGGAAAAGGGGGAACAGTGGGGAACGACGGTACTTGGAACTCGTGAGATCGGAAGCACATGCAGTCGTTGCCCGGACGCCGATTCGTAAGCACGGGCTTAATAGAAAGCTCGCGGGCAACCGTGCGAAAGCTCGCACGACGTGCTTAGTCCGGTCGTGATCATTTCTTTTTTTCTTACTCTCCACCTGGTTATTCTAGTTTTTTCTCTCAACTTTTTTTTTGGGGGGCGATTTTTCGCTGTTATTCGATTATTATGAGGCGTGTTTATTTTTTTGATATTATTAAATGGACGATTCAACTGAAATTCTAAAGAAAAAAGAAGGACAATTTTGGGGGAATCTGTGAAATTCGAGCAGTTTACCTATGAAAAAGGTAAAGTATATCATAATTATCATATAATAGAGAATTATTTTTTAAAAAAATCTAGAAATCACTTTTTTAATGATGTATATGTAAAGAATACTAAGTATTAGGTTTTTTTGAAAACATTAAAAATACATCGATGGAACAAGAATAATATTTCAAAATTGTGTGGTAGAAAAATTGCTGTTTTGACACGTGCCGATTACTGAAATAAACATCAATCTTTGTAACGGTTAAATTTACAGTCGAAACGTTTTGTAACAATCGATGGCGTTTGATTTAACACGTTCGTTTCTGTGTTGTGTAGTTTGAAACAAACCCTGTCCGAAATGGAAAATATTTCATTGTTTTATCATTTTGAACATTTAACAAATGTGTGGCAGGTGTTTTAAAAAAATAGAAAGAACTTAGGTTTATAAACAAACCAAATAATCTCTTTCAACATACATTTTTGATCGATTTCGCGTTCGCAATTTAGAAGTGCTGCTCTGGGCTTTTCCGTATATGACCATCAGTTGATATTGATAAGTGTAAAAGCAGCACCTGTGCTCCGTTTGCGCTGCGCTGGTGGCCAGCTGTTTCTAAGTTATCAGCGTGTCGACGAGGAATGGTTAAAATAAATTCTCTTCCAAGAAAATAATTGAAATCGGAATTGGGAGAATGAAAATGCAAATTGTCATCGTAAGTTCACGTTGACTTCGCAATTCATTTAATAACTCAAACATGTTCACTCCTGCTGCATATACACAGAATTTATTATTCCCCAAAAAGACATCTTTATACCTTTCATAAACAGAACAATTTTTGGTGGTGTTAAATCAATAAATTTATTGTGCAACAATGAAATTATTAGAATTTGAGTCTCGTGCTACAATTACCTGATGTACAAGGTTTACTTTTCCAGTCGTGATTTTAAGCGCTTCCACGACACGCAACCTATAGTCATGGTGAAATATTCAACGGCACGACAGGCAAGCTTTACGTAGATGACCCGTCAATCATACTCAGGATAAAACAATTCCGGACTCAATTACTTATTTGTAGATAATAGTGGGTTGTCTTGTGTGTAATATCGTGACTGGATATCTTTAACTGATCGTAAATATTTAAATTAATCGATTAATAAAAGAGTAAACACTAAAAATGGAAGAATGCAAAGATAATACCTTCTGAGATACCAAAAGTCTGCTGAGGTTGTGGTTTCGTTTGATATCAACGTTATCAACAGATATCAACATTCGCGGAAATGGTACAAAAAACTGTAAAGCATTTTCATCGAGATACATATACTTTACTGGAGTGCGTGCTCACGATATTCGCTTGGTCGAGAAAACGGTCCGCCTCGCCAGCATATTCCCCCACTCTATAACGGCAAGAAATACAAATAGTACTAACTACTGGATATGATTCTGCATGAATTTATTCAATATTTACTAAATAATTCAAATAATGTTATTCAATAATGATGAAAAATACCAAATAATATATATTTAAGTTATTATAGTTTAGGAAATAAATAAAAAATACTTCAAAGCTTGTTTTTCTTTGGATTATTTATTAGAAATATAACATAGATATATTTAAATTATACATTATTAAATAATATTAATTTAGTTAGTTTTTGGCGAACAGAAGAATTATTCTTTAGAACATTTTGTAAATTAAATTGTTTTCCATAATGATTAGCTCTTATGTTTATAAAATGTTGGGCTATTAAATGGAACAAAGTATATTCATGCGATGGTGTTCCGAATTCAACATTTATCGGATGCATGTTTGGGAAGAAAAATAATGAATGCTTATCACAAATATTTTCTTTGGCGCATTTAATAACGTTGGATTTGACATTCTTTAAATGGTGCTCTTTAAGCACCACAGCTTGGAACGATTTTTCGAGCACCTTTACAATCAAATAGACTGCATTGGATGGTAAAATTAAATTGCCTCTATTCACATGTCGCGTNATCTAATTTTCATATTTTAGTGTTTTTCTCGATATTAAGGCATCTGAGAACAAAAGTGAAAGAGAGCAATATTGTCAAGAATTAAATTTTCTACAACTTTTGTTCTAAAAGTTCGTTTGTAAAATGCTCCGAATGTCGATTGTTACCATTAACAGCTTGTAAAACTACTAATTCATCTAATTTTCATATTTTAGTGTTTTTCTCGATATTTAGGCATCTGAGAACAAAAGTGAAAGAGAGCAATATTGTCAAGAATTAAATTTTCAACAACTTTTGTTCTAAAAGTTGTTTTGTAAAATGCTCCGAATGTCGATTGCTACCATTAAGAGCTTGTAAAACTACTAATTCATCTAATTCATCTAATTTTCATATTTTAGTGTTTTTCTCGATATTTAGGCATCTGAGAACAAAAGTGAAAGAGACCATTATTGTTAAGAATTACATTTTCTAAAACTTTTGTTCTAAAAGTTGTTTTGTAAAATGCTCTGAATGTCGATTGTTACCATTAAGAGCTTGTAAAACTACGAATTCATCTAATTTTCATATTTTAGTATTTTTCTCGATATTTAGGCATCTGACAACAAAAATTAAAGTGAGCAATATTGTCAAGAATTAAATTTTCTACAACTTTTATTCTAAAAGTTGTTTTGTAAAATGCTCCGAATGTCGATTGTTACCATTAACAGCTTGTAAAACTACGAATTCATCTAATTTTCATATTTTAGTATTCTTCTCGATATTTAGGCATCTGACAACAAAAGTGAAAGAGACCAATATTGTTAAGAATTACATTTTCTACAACTTTTGTTCTAAAAGTTGTTTTGTAAAATGCTCCGAATGCCGATTGTTACCATTAACAGCTTGTAAAACGATGAATTCATCTAATTCATCTAATTTTCATATTTTAGTATTTTTCTCGATATTTAGGCATTTGACAACAAAAGTGAAAGAGACCAATATTGTTAAGAATTACATTTTCTACAACTTTTGTTCTAAAAGTTGTTTTGTAAAATGCTCCGAATGTCGATTGTTACCATTAACAGCTTGTAAAACGACGAATTCATCTAATTTTCATATTTTAGTATTTTTCTCGATATTTAGGCATTTGACAACAAAAGTGAAAGGGACCAATATTGTTAAGAATTACATTTTCTACAACTTTTGTTCTAAAAATATTTTTTTAAAATGCTCCGAATGTCCATTGTTACCATTAACAGCTTGTAAAACTACGAATTCCTCTAATTTTCATATTTTAGTGTTTTTCTCGTTATTTAGGCAACTGATAACAAAAGTGAAAGAGACCTATATTGTTAAGAATTATATTTTCTACATCTTTTGTTCTAAAAGTTTTTTTGTAAAATGCTCCGAATGTCGATTGTTACCATTAACAGCTTGTAAAACTACGAATTCATCTAATTCACCTAATTTTTATATTTTAGTGTTTTTCTCGATATTTAGGCATCTGAGAACAAAAGTGAAAGAGAGCAATATTGCCAAGAATAAAATTTTCTATAACTTTTGTTCTAAAAGTTGTTTTGTAAAATGCTCCGAATGTCAATTGTTGCCATTAACAGCTTGTAAAACTACGAATTCATCTAATGTTCATATTTTAATATTTTTCTCGATATTTAGGCATCTGACAATAAAACTGAAAGAGACCAATATTGTTAAGAATTACATTTTCTACAACTTTTGTTCTAAAATTTTTTTTGTAATATGCTCCGAATGTCGATTGTTACCACTAACAGCTTGTAAAACTACGAATTGATCTAATTCACCTAATTTTCATATTTTAGTGTTTTTCTCGATATTTAGGCATCTGACAACAAAAGTTAAAGTGAGCAATATTGTCAAGAATTAAATTTTCTGCAACTTTTGTTCTAAAAGTTGTTTTGTAAAATGCTCCGAATGTCAATTGTTACCATTAACAGCTTGTAAAACCACGAATTGATCTAATTTTCATATTTTAGTGTTTTTCTCGATATTTAGGCATCTGACAACAAAAGTTAAAGTGAGCAATATTGTCAAGAATTAAATTTTTTACAACTTTTGTTCTAAAAGTTATTTTGTAATATGCTCCGAATGTCGATTATTGCCATTAACAACTTCTAAACTACGAATATGATGGTTAAAGTCGGCAATTGAAGTAATATGATATCATTTTCAGCCACTCAAAAAATAAGTTTGAGTTGATGTACCCCGTGTCTGAAATCGAAAAAACACAATATTAAATTTGCTTCTGTTAGAAAATTATAATGGTGGTGTAGACCAGCAATACTAACCGTGCAAAAGATGGTGGTATTGACGCCATGTTCACAAAATGTTGTTATAAGTTTATGCTCATCAGTTTATGCTATGAGGTTATGAATAAAAATAAGACAAATATAATTGCACACCAATAAGAACAATTGTCTCTACAATTAATATCATATCAATTGGAAACTGCTCAACACATTAGCCTAAAAGAACATTAAATGCCACAGAAATGGATTACTGGAGAAAAGCTGCTGGAAAATTTAGATAGGAGATGAAAGAAGAATTAGAAAGGAAAACAACACATATAATGAAAGAAAAAGATGACATGTACAGAGAATGGGTGAAGACCGAGTACTAGGCCATGGAGGTGTTGAAGGCAGAATATTGATGGAGGGTTGCGGATGAGAGCGTTGGACGAAGAGAGAGAGGACGAATTTGCTAAAATAAACTAATATCCCTTAATACAGTAAGACAAATATGAAAAAAATTGACAACAAACATGAAACAACAATTAATTTCACTATACCTTCTATAAAATCTAAACACCTAAGTAAATTTTCAAAGCAAATGAACTCGAACGTTAGCAATAAGTGAATCAGACGCCAACGTGTGGGTTTGGATTGGCCTTTTTTCGTTTCTCTTCTAAATACCTAAGCCTGTATTATTGCGATCACCGCCACCCGCAGAGGTGCTGTTTCGTGTAATCATAGTTTAAAACCGTTTACATTAACAAACTCCAGCAGATGTAGCCATGTGACCACTGTAACGGTTGCCTCACCTGTACGCAATCTTAACCGTTCAACGTACACATACTGACGGCTGCCCGTTTATTTTATTATTTCGTACCTGTTTTACATTCGGCAAATTTCCATCCAAACACATTTTATTGGATGATCAGATGAAAGATATATCGATAACGTTTCGGTGGGTACTGGTTAATTTACCGAAAAGGAAACTGAGATTTCTTTTACTTTTCTATCATCTTTAAACCGTTCCTGTTACTGTATACAAGAAAGCTTGGAAAAATACGATTTAAAAGATGTTGCGTAGATATAAACAAAATTTACTTATCTACAGTTTTATACTAAAAATAGATAAATTAAGGTTTTGTATACCAAATATTGATAACATTTTATCACAGTAACTTTGTGTTTTACTATATTTTGATGTAATTATTTCAAATTTAGCTTCAAACAATGTAAGATTGTATTTATTTTCTTAATATTGTTTAAGTAATATAATAAAGGTATTTTTTTTGTAGATATTGACGTAAAAATGTATCTCATTCTCATTTTGATATTTTTGATAACATTATTTTATTATAAAGCGATCAAACCGTATTCTTATTGGACCCAAAGAGGTGTTAAACAAAGAAAACAAATTTATTTACTTGGAGATAATGCTGGGCAAATATTTAAACGAGAATCTTTTTATGGGATGATTAAAAATCTTTACGAACATTTTCCTCAAGAACGGTATTAAAATTGTTACAAATATTTATTTCGCTTTAATACAAAAATATTTTTATAGATATTTCGGTATGTATCAAATGCTTCATCCAACATTATTGTTAAGAGATCCAGAACTTATAAAAACGATTACAATAAAAGATTTTGATCATTTCGTGAACCATAAACCACTTTTACCAGAAAGTTCAGAAACGATTTGGACTAAAAATATTCTTTTAACACAAGGTTATTTAAATAATTATTTATTAAGCTAAAATTATTGAAGTGTCTTATCTTTTTAGATGATGATTGGAGACAAGTAAGAGTCGCATTAACTCCAAATTTTACCTCTAACAAAATGAAGCTTATGTTTGGAATAATTTTTGAAACTACGAATACTTACGTGAAACATTTTCAAAATTTAAACGACAAAGTTTATGAAGTAGAATTAAAAGATTTAATGACAAGATACGCAATTGATATAATTTCAACCATAGCTTTCGGTTTTAAATGCGACTCAATCAACGATAAAAACAACGAGTTTTATATTAAAGGTGTCGATTTAGGTCGGCTTGATTTCAAAAGAGTCTTAAAGTTTTTTGCATTTGATTTGTTTCCAACTTTAAGCAATTTGATTAAAATTAAAGTTTTCCCAAGGAGTCTATCAAGTTTCTTTGAAAACATCATTAAAACCACGATAAAATTACGAGAAGAACAAGGAATTGTTCGTGGAGATATGATTGATTTTCTTCTTCAAAGTAGAGATAAAATGGAAGATAAAAATTTATTATCGGATGAAAATATAACAGCGCATGCTTTTTCGTTCTTTTTCGGGGGATTCGAATCCACTTCAACCGTTTTAAGTTTCATGGGTTACGAATTAGCAATTAACCCTGAAATTCAACAAAAACTGCAAGAAGAAATCGATAAAACATTTCAAGAATGTAACGGCAACTTAACTTACGATGCTTTACAAAAAATGAGGTACATGGACATGGTGGTTTCGGAAACTTTAAGAAAATGGCCACCAAATCCGTTTACAGATCGAGTTTGCGTCAAACCTTACACAATTCCTCCAACTAATCAACACGAACAATCTCTTAATTTAGAAGTTGGTCAAACGGTTTGGATACCCATCTATGGGTTACATAATGATCCAGAATATTTCCCAAACCCCACTAAATTCGACCCGGAGAGATTCAACGATGAAAATAAACAAAATATCCCATCAGGAGTTTATGTACCTTTTGGAATGGGACCCAGAAATTGTATCGGATCTAGAATGGCGTTGTTGGAAATTAAACTATTCTTTTTCAATATGCTAGCTAATTTTGATTTCATTCAAATTAACAAAACAGAAAACCCTTTAAAATTAGTTAATTATGGTTTAACTCTAATAACTGAAAATGGTATTTGGGTGGGATTAAAACCGAGAATGTTTAAAAACTAATTTTATACAAAGAATAATTTAAACTATATAAACAGATAAGTTTTATCGCGCATTTTTATTTACTTCTTCTACAAAATTGAACTCAAAGATAAAAATCTCATTACATGCATGTTTATGACGAAGTGTCTGGTCATAATGATATTTAAAATCGGTTAATCACTTTTAGATTGACATGTTATTGATTGTAGCGCCTCGGCCACAAGCCTCGGTTTAACAGTGTGTGTCTATTAGATAATTAGTGTCTTTGCCGTAAGCAACCTCGGTTTAATTGGACGCAAGCATCCATCCTCCACTCTACATAAAGTCGAAGCCGCTTGCGCTAGTTTCAGATTAATATTGGATTAATTGTATAGGCTCGGCTGCAAGCGACCTTGACTTAACCAGAAACTTCCTATATTCTCTCTTCTGAGTTTAGCCGAGGTGCTGCAATTTGTGGTTTAGAAAAAACTTGTCAGAATTTTTCCGATATGTTCAACAAAACAAATATAATATTAAATGAGTTTTTTTTCTTTTCGTAAAAGACGCCGAAATGACTAATTTGAATTTTTCGAAAACTCTTAAGATATTTGCTTATCAATCATTTCCAACTTTAACCGCGGTTTGTTTCTAATTGCAAAGTTTCATTTATTTAGTTTAAATTATGTATTTTTTTTAGAAACTGAATCTTGAGGTTTTTCCTGAAGGCCCTACAAAATTTTTCGTAAATTTGATTAACCCTACAGAGATTACGTGATTAAAGTGTTACAGCAAAACACATAAGGCATAGGCCTGTCAGGCTCAACGTATTCGCTGTAGGGTTAAAAATCCGCGAAGAGAGTGGAATTATAAGACACGATATGATTCATCTTTTCATGCAGGCAAGAAATAAACAATTAGCCGAAAAGAATAAAACGAATTTAACCGATGATAACATCGCAGCGCAAGCTTTTATCTTTTTCTTTGTAGGTTTTGAATCGGTATCAACAACTTTGTGTTTTATAGGTTATGAGCTAGTACTTCACCAAAACAAAAAAAGAATGTGAAGGAAATTTAACTTATGAAACTGTGAATAAAATTAAATACATGGACATGGTTGTTTCGGAAATGATAAGAAAAGGGCCTTCATTGTCATTTCAAGATCGGGTTTGTACAAAACTAGTGGTGGAACGGATATCCGGCAACTACCCGGATTTTAAAAAGTGGCCGGATACCGGATAGTTACCAAATATCCGGCTTTGGCCTCTACCATTCACAGGAATTAGTATCTCTTTTAGGTGTTGGAAACTGCAGATAATAATTAAGTTCAACCCCAATAGGACTTTTTTCATTGAATACAACTTTATTTATATCAGGTTTGTCATTAGCAACCTTATTGTAACAATCCCAATACGATATATGTATAAAATCTCTTGTTGCAGTTTCGTCTAGTTTTCTTCTCTTCGCTTGTAATTCATCATCACATTCATTACTAACAGAACTGTCGCTGTTATCACTTTCGATTATTAATTAAAGTATCCTCTTTTTAATGCAAAAAGCCGTTTTGAAAAGTCGCTTTTAGTTCTTGAGAAATAAATTTTTGAAATAATCGACAATTTTTTCGAATTTTGCAATTTTCGCCGATTAAGTTTTAAAAATTCGTATAAAATCCATTTCTTATATAAAATCTCTTGTTGCAGTTTCGTATAGTTTCCATAATGGCCGGATAGATATGCCGGATAACCGGATATCCGGCCGCGGGAATGCCGAATATCCGGTATCCGGCTTTTCGCAAAATCACTATTTGATATTTTCTTAAAAACTTCCACTAGCAGCTGGTAACTCTCATCCTTTTTATTTTTATCCATATATTCACTACTTTTCACTTTCCAAAGTCAAGAAGTACTTTTCACTTCTTTAGTATATACTTATAAATTCACACCATAGCCTCTTCTTAATTACGAACAGCCATTTCGTAAACAAACTTGAATAATACGCTTGCGAAGATCAATTTAAAACTGAGAAGAATGACATGAACTGTCTCTACGCGTACAAGCTTGCACACGACGGGCCGTGCAAAATCAAGCTCAGCCAGATCTTATCGTTCCATGTCTAGACCTGACAGCGCCATCAGTTTTGGGGCATAGACGATTACATTTGCTCGTGTGTATTAGAGTCGCAGGCTTGGGCCAAATGGTTGTTTCAGGTAAATAGCTTTTTCGTAGTCAGTTACTATCTGCCTAGGCAAATAGTCTTTTTCTATTTATTTCAGTCTAAATTCTAGGTTCTTTCCTAGGCAAATAGCATATGGCTAAAATATTTTCAGGCAAATAGCTCTCAGAAATATAATAAGGCCGACTTTTACCACCTCTTGATGAATTTATCCGATAGATAAATTATCGCTCTTAGCCAATGAGAGCTCTTAAAACCGCTGTAACCATGGTAATTATCCCTTAGATAGTTTATCAGGAGGATGGTAAAAGTGATTTCATTGATTGATACTGAATTATTTCCAGACACTAGTTTATTAATAATATGTTTATTTAAGTGTCCTTGATCATTTCGGAAAAGTAGAAATAGTTATTCTGCGACTTCTGTAGATGTTCTTTAAATCTTTTTTGACTGTGGTTATCTCTGATGTGTTCTCCTGCAGTTTGAGCTCACTGTTTTTTTTCTGACAAACCTGTTCATCCTGCCACGATAAGATTTAACGCCTTGAACACTTATAAATTTAGTTTTAGAAAGCCTGATGTGATAGAGGCCTAGATTCTTATCTTATTTATTTTTTATGATAGGAGCGTTTGTTTGGTGATAACTAATACACCAAGATTTCTCTAAATATTCATCTCAGATCTTTCATCAAGATTTTGAAGTTAGTACCGGCGAAGTTTCACAGCTACTATATACTTTGCTTGGAATGTTATTTACTTCCCATGAACTTGTCTTGGATTCCTTTTGAAAATATAATGCAATAAGGTGATAAGTCCACTTAATAGGTTAAAAAAGCTAGTTCTAAAACATGACATATCACAAAACTCTGCTTCAAGATCAGATGGTATCTAATCTTTTATCACATGATTCACTAATATCATCGCCAAGTTCACTGATTTGCTTTATCGCATCACCTGTTGCAAGCATGCTGTCCATTTTGGTGGCATGTCACGTTCTAACCTACAGATGTTAACGTTGTAGTGTTAATGCAATAACGATATTATTGAATTAGTAGTTTCATCTGTACGAATAACTTTGTACAAATTTTTATACAACTTTTTTATCACACTATTGCATGATTGATTAGAAAACATGTCATGTTCTAGCAATAAACCCTTCATTATATTTGTTTCACTACTATTTGAAATATGGGTCGGGTTGGGTTGATCATATTACTCCTCTTGTCTGTTGTTTATTTTAGTTGGTGGTTGCTCTGCGTTATTAAGAACCTCTTTTATTATATTTTTGAGATACCTTTGTACATTGGGCATTAAAACTTTTTTAAACACTTCATCATGTGGCACGGAAACTTCTTTGAAAAATGGAAGCTAGTTATAGAAACTAATTTATTTTCAAAATTGCTATATATTTATAAATATTACACGTACTGGTATGAGTGAGATATGAAAATAACCACGAATTTAGTGTGTTTAGACTGTGTGGACCAGGTACGACTCAGAAATAAGAAGAATTTTTTGTATGATAGGATATGTGAGATTTTCATCAGTTACAGCAGTGTATGCTTTCAGATGAGAGTACGGTAAAGAACCATCTTGTAAAAGCATTTTGCGGTGGTGTTGGCGGTTTAAGGTCACCAGTTTGGTAACGGTGAAAGCATCGGTCGAGTAAAATAGCTGAACTACATAACGGGGAGAGTGATGAATAGTTTCATACGTTGTCCATAGAAATCAACCGCAGCAGACTTGAAATATTTCAGCAAATGTCGAATGTTTTGCGACGATGTTACATTTCAAATCGTACTATGTGCAGCTCCTACAACAATATTTCATGCCTTTAATATACCTTTACATTACTTATTATCACTGTTATTGGAAATAAATACTTCCTACACGCAGAACTTGTAGTCATA